GTGCGAGGCAAACGCCCTCCCCGCTGTGCTATCGCTCCAGCCCTCCTTATTTTTATCGCTGTTTTTCTTTCTACTCAGCTGTCGGGACCTACTGGCGTCTCGACGCTAAGCCCCCCACTGCCAAGTCCAACCCACCGCAGGCTGTCAGCCCTTCCAGTGAACCTTCATTTCAGTTACTGTTCTTGCAGCTCTGGGTTTTCTCCGTGACTCTTGGAACACTGTTTCTCTCTCACACACATCTCTGACTGCTGAGACACAAGTCCTTGTTTCCTTTCTGCCTCTGTCAGCCCCTGAGCAAGCCAGCCGGGGCTGTATGAGGGGCTGATTGCCAATGCCCACACCTGGCCCGGCTGAGGGCCACTGGCCCCTGCCATGGGCTGTCTCCCCACTGCAGGCGGCCGTGAGCTTCCCTTAGGTCGCACACAAGCATGCCGTGGCCACACACTCCAGGGCCTGGGGCTGTTTCTGGGCTCCGTCCCCACTGGCGCTTGCTTGTCTGACTAGTGACTTGCTCAGGCTAATTCTAATTCTGTATTTTCTGCACTGTGGTCACTAATTTCTCAGTTCCCCTCTTTAAAAAAATCTCATTTTTACTTCTACACCCATCTTGCTAGTGGTCACCTCAGGTTAGCACAGCTCATGGCTGTTGACCCTCGGTCGGGCAGTTCCAGTAAATGACTGGGGCCATAAGAAGGCCCATGTCCGTGGGATGAGTGTGAGGCGGTGTAGCAGGCCCCCCGTCAGGCCTCTGTGTGACCATGAGGCAGGCCCTCCTCTGTGGGGAGTTTTAAGACCACGGGACGGACCTATGGTTGTCGGTGTGGGTGTGTGTGTGACCACAGGACAGGCCCACATCTGTGGGGAGTTGTGTGTGTGTGAGAGCACGGGATAGACCCACGTCTGTCAGAGGTGTGTGTGTGTGTGTGTGTGTGTGTGTGTGTGTGTGTGTGACCACGGGACAGGCCCACGTCTGTCGGAGGGGTGTGTATGACAGCACGTCTGGGTGTGTCTCCCTCTTCCCGGGTCTGGGTGTGCTCACGCGCCACCCTTTGGAGCCTGGGAACATGCGGGGTTTTTAGATCTGCGTGTGGTTGCCCAGGGTGGTGGGGAGTCCCCAAGGGCCCTGAACCACCCTCACCTGTGTCTTCAAGTATGCCCCGGGGCCAGTGTTGGGAGCTTCTGAGCAGAGAAGGGCTGAGCCAGAGTGGGCAGCAGCTGGTGCTGCCGCCGGGTCCCTGCCAGGTCTCTCCCCTGGGTGCTTGTCAGCACGGCCTGTCTCTCCGCTTCTAGGGCTGAGTGATCTGCCATGATTCTGCAGCTCTGTGGGGGCTGATCCCAAGTTCCTTTCTCCACACTGTGGAATCCCACCTACCTTCCAGCACTCCCTAAAAGGCACCCCAGGAACTCCCGGGACTCACTGAGAGACCGAGCCACTGTTCTGTGGTGTGCAACCCCACGGCGTCTCCCCACCTGGGGTGACCCACCACAGAATCAGTCTGGGACCCGGCACCCTCCCTGGGAGCTCAGGCCGCAGAGCTGCTCTGCGCCAGCTCAGACCCTGATGAATACACATGCAAGCCACATGTGTGAGCCACGGCACAGAGGGACACGCGTCTGTGAACCACTGCTGTGTGGACATGCCTGTGAGCCACGGTTCCAGGGAACATGCTTTCGAGCGAGGTCGCACGTGCGTGGACCGTGGCTCCAAGGGATCTGCACGCACGAATCGCCACTCTGGGGGACATACGCGTGAGCCACGTTCTGGGGGACACGTCTGTGAACCACCACTTTGGGGGACATGCATTTGCAAACCAGCACTTGGGGGACACGCGTCTGAAGCACTTCAGGAAGAAACAGGCCGTGTTCAGGACCAGCTGCCCCTGAGCGGTTTCAGAATGGCACTGTCACTCCGAGTCTCACTACAGTCCCCGTTGCCCATGTGAGTGACTCAGCTCCTCAGGAACCACGTGCTCCAGGGACGCTTCAAGCAACTGCCCTGCTGACCCTGGGCCTCTGAGGTCATGGGAGGAAGGAGCACCCTTTTGAGAGCCCTTCGGCCCGGTCTCGACCCGAGACAGGCCACCCCTGGGCATGTGGACTCCCTGGCACTGTCCACACGTCTCCACGGCATGAAGCTCTGGGCACATCTGCAGAGCGGGCCGGGCGGGCAGGAAATGGACGCAAAGCTCAGTAGCTATGTCCACAGAGGCGGGCGGCTACGCAGGAGAGCCGGCACCATGCTCTCGGGCCTGACCTGATGCTGTAACACTGGCCTGTCCACGGCGGAGGACAAAACAGAGGCCCGTGCACTGTGGCTGAGCACCAGCCCTCGCTGACCTCTGAGCAGTAGTCCCCTCACCGACCACTGACCACGTGCTGTGGCTGGGCCCCAGTCCCCTCTCGCTGGCCACTGACCACACGTTGTGGCTGAGCACCAGTCCCCTTGCCGACCACTGACCACGCACTGGGGCTGGGTACGAGTCCCCTCGGTGACAATGGCCATACACTGTGGGTGAGCCTCTGTCCCCTCACTGACCAGCACTGTGACTGAGCATCAATCCCTTCACTGGCTGCTGGCCACTCACTGTGGCTGGCCCTAGTCCCCTCGCCAATCACTGACCAGCACTGTGGGTGAGGACGAGTCCCCTTGCTGACCACTGATCACGTGCTGTGGCTGAGCACCAGTTCCCACGTTGACCACTGAACATACCGCCCACTGACAACACACTATTAGCATCAACCCTCTCACTGACCACTGGCCACACAGACCGGCCACATAAGCCGTGTGAGATCACGTCCCTCTGCTTCTGCTTGTCCTAAAGCTTCCAACACTGACCGCGCCAGTGAGGCCAGCTGTCCAGGGCAGACCTCTGGTGTCCCCCTCTTACTACTGGCCCAGGTGAAACACCTGGTACCGCCCCGCTGAGGGCCAGTGCCCTTGGGCTGCCACGCAGGGTGCAGTGGGCCGAGCTGAGCAGAGCCACGGCGAGGGCAGAAGGGCCTCGAGTGCGCGCCCACACGCGGTCCTGGGGATGTGCCGGCACCCACCTCCTGCCAGGTGAGCACACAGTAGGGCCACCCACAGCCTGCGTCTCTCTCTGCCCACGGCGGCACTGTCCCCAGACACTCAGTCCGTCCACAGGAAGTGGCCACATCTGGCCCTGCCCTGGCGGGGGGGGGGGGTGCCGAGAGCCCAGCGTCCGCCAGCGTCCGCCGCCACCCGATCTCCAGAGGCGGCTGTGGGCAGGCGGCTCCCGACCCCCCGGGTCCCGGCTCCCCTGCCAAAGGCCCTGGACCCAGGACTCCCCTGGCTCCTGCCGACGGGAAGCCTCGCCTGGCGCCCTGCCACGTGAGTCAGACTTTCCGTGAGCGAAGCCTTTGTTCTCCTGAGTGGGAGCGTGGCCAGAGGCTGGAGGAATTCGCAGCCCAGGCTCGGCAGAGCGGAGCTGGCCGCAGGGCCCACCTGCGTGTTGCTCTAATGACATGGAGGCTTCTGGAAAGCAGGGGGGAGTTAGGAGGGGCTGAAAGGGCCAATTGTGGCCACTGGCCGTGGGGGCACGCAAGGGCGGGCCGTGTGGGCCACACACAGGCACGCCCATCCCAAACCTCCCTCAGGAGACACCTAGGAACCTTCCAGCGAAAGTCCCCAAGTGGAAGCATGTCCCGCGGCCGAAACGACTGTGTGTGCGAGAGTGGGCCTCTGTACTGCCACGCGCGCGTGCCCCAGAGGAGAGGGTGAGTGTGAGCGGTCAGGACATGTGTGTGCTGTGCACGCGTGGCGACGAGAGTGGGAGCACTGAGGGATGACGGCGGCTGTGTGAGGGAGTGAGGAGCATGGTGGGGGCGAGGGTCCTGCACACAGGCTCGTGGACACAGGTCCTGCCCACTCGCCCTGACCCCTGTGCCCCCCCAGAATGAGGCTGGAAGGTGCGTGACCACGTGCTGTGGTGAGTCTTGCCTTTGGCAGCCACACGGCGCAGAGGGCTGGCATGTCCACAGGCAGTGGCCACAGCGAATCCCGAGGGACACGCGCGCCCAGGCCGGTGGAATAAGCGGAGGGCGCTCAGACCCTCGACGTCCCCCAAAGTGCCGCTGCCCCAGCCACTGCCAGGACCCGCCACGCCAGCACTGACCCCACAGCGGCCCAGTGATTTGGGGGGAGGGGCTCGGCAGGAATGGTGCCCACAGGCGTGGCCCTCAGCCAGGCCCCGAAGGGCAAGCAGACAACTGGGTCAGAGCTCAGGATCCACACAGGGCCCGTCAGACAGGCCCATGGCAGCTGCCGGGCCGGCCTCATGCAGACGCAACCACACCCTGGCACCTCCTGGGCCCACAGGCAGCTGGGCGGTCGTCTGCGCGGTGCCTTTGCAGACGTCGCGCCTCCCCTTGCCAGGACAGCCCCCACGGGATCCGGGGGTAGGCAGGAACGACACCGCACACAGGGGCATGCGGGGGGATGCCGGGAGGGGCCTCCTTGCACCCTGACGGCCCTGACAGCCTGGGGTAGCGACTGCACCCCGGACCTCACAGCGAGGGGGGCCCTGAGCACATGGACACGGCCAGCACGGAGGCGGCCGAGGACCAAAGGCAAACTGCTGAGTCGGCGACGGACAGGCGGGCAGAAGGTATGGCGGGCCGGGACGAGGCGCCGAGGGGCAGGGCACCAGTGGGCGGCCTGGGCGGCCTGGTCAGGGCCCGTGAGCTCTGCGGGAAGCCGCGGGCTCTGCGGAAGGGCTGGACAGCACCAGCCCCCGCAGGCTCTGGGCGTCAGGGCTCACACCCAGGCCGAGAGCCCCGGCATGGCCGTCCCCTCAACAGCACGCGTCCCACACGGGCCCCACCGCGGCCGGCCAGGCTGCTGTCAGTCGCCCGTCTCTCCACCAGGGTGCTCCGGTGGCACCCAGACACCCACCGCGGGGGCCGTGCCGCTGCCGAGGTGCCGGGCCAGCTGCCCGCACGCCCACACTCGCCGCCAGATGTCCTGCCGCTCGGGCACTCACCGTCGTCCAGGTCCAGCTGGTCCAGCTCTTGCGGCTCACGCTTGACCGCCAGGGGCACGGGGGCCAGACTAGGGTCACCGTCCCGGTGCACCTCGGGCAGCGGCAGAGGCCCGGCGGCAGGAGACGCGCTTGGCGGAGCCTTCGGCGGGCAGGTGGGGCTGCAGGGCTGCAAACAGGCGTGCGCTGGGGTGCCGGACGGGAGCCCGGCACGGGGGCCGCTGGCACGCACAACCGCAGAACGGCCGCGGCTCAGCGGGGCACTCACCTGTGGCTGCAGCAAGGAGGGCGCCGGCGGCTGGGGCGAACCGGGGTGCAGCTCCGGGCCCGGCACGGGGAGGACGCCGGGGGTGGCCGGCGGCGGGAGGCCCAGCTGGCACGGGCCGGGCCCTGCCAGGGCCTTGTAGGGCGCCGAGGAGAGCGTGTGGAGCTTGGGGCTGGCGCCGGGCGGTGGGGACAGCAGGGGGCTGCCCTGGGGACAGGTTGGAAATCCGGTCACCAGGCAGGAGGGCGGCTCGGGCGGCAGGGCCAGCGGCTGGCTGTAGCAGGCCTTGGGGAGCGGGCCCAGGCCCTGGCCCAGGGGCCCGCAGGGCAGGGCCGGCTCGTAGTCGTCCGAGGGCTCTGTCTTTATGGCCGGAACTGGGGGAGGAAGGGGGTCCGTGAGCAGGCGGCCGCCGCACAGCCCGCCCGGCACCCGGCCAGTACAGGGGGCCGAGTCAGCCCCGAAAGCACGGCTGGCTCTGACACCGACGCCACTGTTGCCTCGGCAGGGAAGCCCAGTGGGTGGTGACCAAGTAAATGTTTCCCGTGAGCCTCTGACAGCCTCCACATGCGGCACGAAAGTGGTGGGCCAGCCCACAGGACGTGAGCTCTGCCATGGGCCCGCGCTCCCCGCCAGGGCCTTCCACTCCCGTCTGCTCTCTGGAGTCCCTGCAAGCAGGCAGCTGTGGGGACTGAGCTGGGGCAGATGGACGACACGGGGCCCAGCCCTGCCGCCGCCCTCGTCCCTGCCTGGGTGCTGCCTTCTTGCTTCTCCTCCTCTGGGGCCCTCAGGAGGGACTCCGTGAGCACCCTCTGGGGCTGCCGTCCTGGGCAGCCACGTGCAGCACCCATAGACGGAGGACTCTCCTGGACCCACACGGGTGCGCCACGCCAGGAGCCGCTGACGCCCCTAGACAGCACCAGGGCCTCCAAGCCCACAAATAGTTTCTGGCAGGCGGGCGGGAAGGTGTGAGAGGGAGGGAAATGAGATCCGCAGGTGGGTCTGCGAACTCTGGGGTCACTCCTCGGGGTGCATCAGGTCACATCTGGAGAGAGCTGCAGGTTCACAGGCACAGCAGAGGGAAAGGGTCAGGACATGGAGGGGACCAGGGTGTGGGGGGGTCAGGGCACGAGGGGGTCAGGGTGCGAGGGGGTCAGGGCGTGAGGGGGTCAGGTTAGAGGGGGTCAGGGTGAGGGGGTCAGGTTAGACGGGGTCAGGGTGAGGGGGTCAGGTGTGAGTGGTCAGGGCGTGAGGGGGTCAGGGGTGAGGGGCTCGGGGGGTCAGGGTGTGAGGTGCACGAAGTCAGAGGGGCGTGGGGGGTCACTGCTGAAAGGGGTCAGGATGTGAGGGGGGGTCACCATGCTGAGGTGGAGGCAGTGGGAAGACAGGCCGCGTCTAGCTCACCTGCCCAACAGCCTGCAGAGATCCTGCAGCACAGGGGCCCACTCAGCACCCCAACGCCGGCAGCCCACGGCCGCCTCCGTGGCACCTCCAGGTGCAGTGCCCCCCATAACACAGTCACCCCCATAGGGGGCGCTACAGCAAGGCTCCCCTGAGACAACCACACACAGGGGGCCCCAAAGCACAGTCTTCACCCCACAGAGGTGCCCCACCCAAGCAATGCCACCGAGAATGGCCCCCGGTGCAGCGGCGCAGGGTCTCTGGGGGCTGCCAGCCAGACCCCCACAACAGCGCCCTCTGGTACGGCGGGGACTCATGGGGCAGGGGACTGTGCTGCTGTGTGCATCACAGGGGTCACGTGGTGTCGGGGTCATGTGGTCAGAGCACACAGACGCCGCGGGGCATGGGGGTGCTTGGGCACAGTGTCAGGGCACGGTGGGGCACGGGGTCTGGTCGCCGGAGACCTGGGCGGCCACTGTGTCCTGGTGCCTGATGGGGCGGGCCGGGGTCTTGAGGGGGCTGGAGGGGGGTCACGTTTTCGAGGCAGACTCAGCCTTGCAGGAGACGCCCCGGCTGCACTGCACAGAGGACGCCGGCAGCTGCCCCAGCAACCCCGCACCCCGCACTCATGACACCCGTGCCGGGGCACTCGGCGTGGCCCTGGCTGGCTCCCCATTTCACCCAGTCAGCTGCTCGCCCCCACGGCCCCCTGGGGCCCCAGCGAGGCCATCGTCCCCCTGGCATGCCGCCAGCAGTGCCGGTCACCTGACCACGCACGCGGTGGAGGGGAAGGTGTCCGGCGGCAGGGCCGGGCCGGCCTCCCGGTGCTGCACACGGACCGCCGAGGCTCGCTCCGGCTCCCGGGAGGGGAGAAGCGCTGCTGGCAGGCCCCCGGGCGGCCCTCGGCAGAGGTCACTCCGCAGACCCGCCTCGCACAGGGCCGGGCGCTCACCGTGGGCCGGGAGGTAGGTGAAGTGTTGGTACTGGCTCCGCTTCCTCTTCCCGTTGCACACGTAGAAGCTGACCTGCACGGGGCTGCTGATCCTTGGGTTGCGGAAGGGCGGGATCTCCACCACCAGCGAGTTCTGCGGGAGGGGGGCCGTCAGCAGCCGGCCCTGCCCAGCCTCCGTGGCCTGGGGACCCCGCGGGCCGGGACACTGCCCGTGTTCTGGGACTCCCAACCAAGCACCCCGAGCGCAGGGCAGGCCCTGAAAACGCCTCGTTCCAGACACCCCCAGCCCTCCCTCAGCACCCCCATGCAGCCCCCCAACACCCACATCTCCCTGACAGCCCACACCCCATTCACTCTCCCCGACACCCCAGACTCCCCTGCCCCGCCTCGCCGACACTCACCCCCTTGCACAGGTCCCTGTCGGTCTTGGCGTCCATCTCCCACACGTGGTGGCCGTCTGGAAGGAAGGGCAGAGCCTATGACGGGCACACTCGGGCGGGGCCACGCAGCACCACACGGCTTCATCCCCCCAGGGGCCTGCCACAGGGGACCACCAGGTGGCCCGCTGGGACACAGCTGCCCTGGCAGCGGGCACCCCAAGTCTTGGCTGACCCCGAGGGCTCACGGGGTCACCACACGGCACATGCTCCCCTGAGTGCCCCAGGATATGGGACTCGGGGACACGGACACGTAGGGACATGGGACACGCAGGGACACAGAGGCCTTCCCTCGGTTCTCAAGGAGAAAACTGCAGGTCTCAATCCTAAATCCCTGCAGAACCGGGGCGTGTGCCGCTCGTGCGCGAGGCCTGTAACACGTCTCTGCTGGGGCCCCTGTCGGGGGCTGGGCTCGGGGGGTGCCCCCGTCCTGGGCAGGGCCTGGCTCTGTGAGGACCCCAGTCCTGGGGGCCCTAAAGCCTTTCCCAAACATTCCCGCTTCCCTCAGGGCCGTGCAGGGGCCGTGGCCGGGCTGTGGTCCCTCGAGCCCCTCCTCTCCCTCCTCTTGGGCAGGCGCTGGGGCCGTGGCCGCCTGAATGGGCCTTTGTGTGGCTTATCAGCCGCCGCTGGCTGCTCCCTAGGAAACTGTGGCCAGCCCAGAAGTGGAACGTTCCCAGTCATTAGGGAATTCCCTGCGGCTGAGTCATCAGACGGCTTCCCCCGCCAGCCACGCCCCAGCCTCCAGCCCCACTGACAGCTGGCAGGAGGGTGGCCACGTCGCGCTCACTCTCCTGCCGGCACGGCCGAGCCCCACAGGCAGGCGGGGGCGCCCACGACCCTGTGTGACACGAGTGGCTGGACCCCTCCCCCCGCCCCCCCCCACCAGCAGGAGGCGTGACAACAATGGCCACCCCCCCACACCAGGCAGTGTGCCGTCACCGTCAGCCCCGCTGTGGGTATGCCACATACCCCATGGGACAGGCACAGCGCCAGAGAGAGGGTGGAGCCTCGTGACACTCACAACAGCTCACACACAAACACACACACCTGCCCCAACACCTTACACACCAAGTCCCTCACACACACACACACACACACACACACACACACACACCCTGTTCTGCATGCGCCTCACACACAGAATTTCTCACATGAACATGCACTTAACCTGCAAGCACCTTACACACCAAATCTCTCTCTCACACACACACCACAAACGCCTCACACATGCACACACCTGCCCCTGCACGCGCCTCATAGATCAAGTCTCTCTCTCTCTCACACACATACACACACACCTGCCCCACACATACCTCCCACACCGAGTCTCACACACATACCTGCCCCACATGCACCTCACAATGTCTGTCACACATGATGTATCTGCCCCACTTGTACCTCATACACCAGGTCATACACACACACACACACACACACACACACACACACACGTGTGCACCTGCCCAGCATGTGCCTCACACACCATCTCTCTCTCACACACATACACAAACACCTACCCTGCAAGCACTTCAAACACTGAGTCTGGCACACACACACACACACACACACACACACGTGAGCACCTGCTCCACACGCATCTCACATGCTGAGTCTCTCACAGACACGTGTGCACCTGCCCAGCATGCACCTCATACGGTGAGTCTCTCACACACAGGCACCTACCCAGCAAACATGTCACACGAGTCTCTCTCTCACACACACACCTTGCCAGCACGTGCCTCACATACCAAGTCTCACACACACATATATCTGCCCCTCTGCACCTCACAGACCAAACACCTCACACAGTCTTTCACACACACCTCCCCTGTATGCACCTCACACACTAAGTCTGTCACACACACCCGCCCCGTGAGCACCTCACACACCCAGTCTCTCTCCCAAATACACACCTGTCCCACACACCCAGTCTCTCTCACATGTACACCAACCACACATGCGCCTCCCACACCAAGTCTCACGTGCACACACACACATACCGCCACGCACCCACCCTGGCTCTGTGGGCCCTTCTCCAGGCCTCCTGTGGCGGGGGTGGGGGCCCAAGTGTGGGCAGAGCCCAGCAGGCCCTGGAAAAGGCCGACCTTGCAGCTGACCCCGAAGGCGCCCCAAAGAGCCCGGCTCCTCCCTCATCAGTGACGCCCTTGGGGCATCCATCTGGACATGAGGTCCCTCCCCAGGGACGTCCTGTCCTGCACAGACAGTGTGAGCGGCCTGGGGCCGGGATCCAGCTGTGCGGGCTTTGGTGCAGCTGAGACCAGGGAGATGGGCTCAGCAGCCCTGACGGACCATCTCGGCTGACTCTGCTCAGAGACGAGCAACAAAAGCCCCTTTTGGAATCTCCCTGCGAGGACTCCCCACGGTGCTTCCAGGCTGGCGCCAGCCCTGCACACACAGAAGCAAAGCCACCCTGCGATCAGGTCAGGGGAGTGAGTGACAGGGCAGGGGTGTGAGTTGGGGAAAGGTGTGTGAGGTGAGGAAGGGGTGTGAGAGACGAGGCGGGGGTGAGGGTGAGGGTGAGGGGCAGGGGTGTGAGAGACGGGAAAAGATAATGAGTGATGGGGCAGGGGTGTGAGTGTGTGATGGGGCAGGAGTGTGAGAGACAGTGCAGGGGTGTGAGAGACGGGGCAAGGGTGGGAGTGACGGGGCAGGGGTGTGAGAGAGGCTGCATGAGTGTGAGAGATGCAGCAGGGGTGTGAGAGACGGGGTAGGGGTGTGAGAGACGGGGCAGGGGTGGGGGTGATGGGGCAGGGGTGTGAGAGACGGGGCGGGGGTGGGGGTGATGGGGCAGGGGTGTGAGAGATGCTGCATGAGTGTGAGAGACGGGGCAGAGATGTGGGTGACGGGGCAGGGGTGTGAGAGAGGCTGCATGAGTGTGAGAGATGCAGCAGGGGTGTGAAAGACGGGGTAGGGGTGTGAGAGACAGGGTAGGGGTGTGAGAGACGGGGCAGGGGTGGGGGTGACGGGGCAGGGGTGTGAGAGACGGGGCGGGGGTGGGGGTGACGGGGCAGGGGTGTGAGAGATGCCGCATGGGAGCGGGAAACGCCAGCACACACACTGGCACCGGCGAGCCCAGCCCTGAGTGTGCACGTGTGGGAAGCGTGTGGTATGGCATGTCGGCGGGAGGCAGGTGGCGGCACACGTAATGTGAGTGTGTTGTGTGTGGGCGTGTGTGTGACGTGTATGGCATCTTGTGCACAGTGTGTTATGAATGTGGCATGTGAGTGTGTGTGAAGAGTGTGGCAGGGCCGGTGGCCCTGAGTGTGAGAGACGGGGCAGAGATGTGGGTGACGGGGCAGGGGTGTGAGAGATGCTGCATGAGTGTGAGAGATGCAGCAGGGGTGTGAGAGACGGGGCAGGGGTGGGGGAGACAGGGCAGGGGTGTGAGAGATGCATGAGTGTGAGAGACGGGGCGGGGGTGTGAGGCACTGCATGAGTGTGAGAGATGCAGCAGGGGTGTGAGAGACAGGACAGGGGTGTGAGAGACGGGACAGGGGTGTGAGAGACGGGGAAGGGGTGGGGGTGATGGGGCAGGGGTGGGGGTGACGGGGCAGGCGTGTGAGAGAGTGTGGCCTGTTCAGGACTATGTGGACACAGAGGGCTCTGAGCCCTGTGCTCACGGACGCAGGATGTCCTAACCGGTCCCGGCCGTGAGAGTCGTCTGCTGTCACCCAGAGCCCCAGTGACGTGCTGGCACCGCGGCCAGGCTCCCGTCACACGGAGGGCCGGCTCTGACACGCCTCCCACAGGGAGAGCAGCTCTCTGGCACCGCCCACGACACGCATGGTGCCAGAGGCGACATTATCTCAGATTTGTTCCCTCCGCGGGGACGTTCCCGACACAAACGTCCCCTGGCCATTAGACCCAGCTGGTCCTCTCGGTGATTGAAAACCTGTTTCCGATTCCGTGCTCAATTGTACGGCATCAAGTCCGACCTGAAAGGCTTTTGAAAAGAATCTGAAGGAGGCTCGCAAGAGTGCCGCAAATGGCACCAAATCACGCGGCCATTATGTGGCTGCCCCCAGCGGGGCCCGCAATCAGCACGAGCGCGGCCACCTCGAGAAACGGAACAGAAGCAGCACAGCGGGGCCACGCCCATGCCACGCCTCCCGCGGGGCAGCGGCCACGGGGCCACGCCTGCGCGGGCCTCCCGCGGGGCAGCGCCCAGGGGGCCACGCCTGCCCCACACAGTCCCGCACACCGGCCACCTGCAGCCGCCGCAGAGAGCCCAGCCCCATCGCGTGGCATGGGCAGGCGGACACACTCACACTCGGAGGAGGCAGGGCCTGTGTGCCGGCCGCCCCGGAAGGGCCCCGTGGGGGTTGTCCCCGTGCGGTTGTCCCAGCAGTGACAGCCACCCTCCCCGCGCCGCGCCTGGCCGCACCTGGCGCCTTCTCCACGAACACCACCTTGGAGTCCTGCAGGAAGTTGTGTCCGGACAGCACCATCCTCTTCCCGCCCTGTGCGGGGCCGCTGGCCGTGCTCTGCTTCTCCACCAGGGGCAGCTCCTGGGCCGAGCGCTGGGCTGTGTGTGGGGCAGGAGGGCCGTGAGGGGCCACGGCCGGGCCCCGGGAGGGGCCGGGAGGAAGGGACCCGGAGGCCGCCAGCCCTGAGGGGGTCCCGGGAGCGGGGCCGGGGCCTGGGGTGCCCCAGAGCGGGGGTCTTGGCAGCATCTGCGCCCTCCTGCGCCCCCTCCCCCCGGGGCACTCACAGCACTCGATGGGGTTCGAGGCCACCTGCAGGGACAGCGTGCGGCCGCCGGGCTGCGGGATGTGCACGCGGAACACCAGGCGCACCCGCGTGTTCTTCCTGCCGATGTCCGTCTCCCCCTTGCGCAGCTCGATGTCGGAGTTCCGCAGCTTCAGGATCCCCGCACAGTCGATGCTGCAGAGAGCCGCGCCTCAGAGGTGCCCCGTGGGCACACGGGCACGCGGCACACGCCAGGAGGCCCCTCGGAGACTGCGCCCTGGTGCACCCGCGTGCCCCTGGGCACCCGCCGTGCTCCAGCCACGGGATGGGTCCAGCCCCCCCCGGAATCTCCCAGGCACTGCTGCCTGCCGGGACCCCCAGTCCTCACCCCCGTCCTGTGGCCCCTCAGGGAGACCCGGGCCCCCGGCTGGCCTCAGCGCCCCCAACCCCCTACGGTTCTCAAGCACGTGGGCACCGCGGGCAGCTCCACGGGGCCACTTACATGGCGCGCATGTGGTTCTCCGGCAGCAGCGGAATCTCCAGGACCTTGGTGTTGGACAGCAGCGCCTCGTGGCTGGTGGTGGACACCGTCTTCCCCGTGATGCGGTGCACCTGGTAGAAGGCGTGTGGCCGCAGGAGCCGCTCGTCCGCGGTGCCGATGAAGAGCTGCAGCGTCAGCGGCTCCTTCTCCAGGTAGCCGTGGAGCTGGGGGAGAGCAGGGCCTGAGCACCCCGGCACTTGCCAGACGCTCCCCTCACACGGGCACACGTGCCTCGTGCTCACGCCACACGCAATGCATCACATGGGCACACGTGCCACGTGCTCACGCCACACGCTACGCATCACACGTGTTAATTCATGCCACGCACATCACACACGCCACGTGCTCACGCCACACACTACGCATCACACATGCAAACTCACACCATGCACATCACATGCGCCACGCGCTCACGCCACATGCTATGCATCACACGGGCACACGCCACGTACTCATGCCACACACTATGCATCACACATGCAAACTCACACCATGCACATCACATGCGCCACGCGCTCACGCCACATGCTATGCATCACACGGGCACACGCCACGTACTCATGCCACACACTATGCATCACACATGCAAACTCACACCATGCACATCACATGCGCCACGCGCTCACGCCACATGCTATGCATCACACGGGCACACGCCACGTACTCATGCCACACGCCACGCATCACACATGCAAATTCACGCCACGCACATCACACGCGACATGTGCTTACTCCACACACGACATGCAGGCTTGTGCACCACACACCCCATCTGCATCACACACACAACACAGGGCCACATCATACATGACACACACCTCCTCAGGCTACACGGCTCACCCCTGTGCACGTGCTGCACACTTCACCCATGTTCACACACACTGAAACACCACCGGCCCTGCCACACTCTTCACACACACTCACATGCCACATTCATAACACACTGTGCACAAGATGCCATACACGTCACACACACGCCCACACACAACACACTCACATTACGTGTGCCGCCACCTGCCTCCCGCCCACATGCCATACCACACGCTTCCCACACGTGCACACTCAGGGCTGGGCTCGCCGGTGCCAGTGTGTGTGCTGGCGTTTCCCGCTCCCACTTCAGCTCTGCCCGGGATGCGCCATCAGGACAATCGGCAGCAGCCAGGGCAGCCCCAACACTCCTGCGGTCGTGGGAACCTGCACATGCATGTGTGTCGAATGCACACGTGTGCTGACACTGGCCGACACCTCTCTGTGTGGCCACGTTCCCTCCCACTTGGAAGAGGAGACGAGGCCCAGACACTGGCCCTCGGGCAGCCCCCGAGACAGGCCGCAGCACTTGCACTGGGCGGTCCTGCAGGGCAGGGCACGGCTGTGCCGGGGGACTGAGGCGCCCACGGCTTCTTCCAGTGTCACCTGTCTCCTCCTGGAGACCCGCAGACACGGGCCGAGGGAGCGAGGGCGGCACACACAGCAGCCCGGCATCTCGGGGGAGCCTGGGCGCTCACGGCAATCAGCCCCGCAGGCAGCCGGGGGAAGCCACCTGGGAGCTGAGGGAGACTGAGGAGGGGGTGTGTGCAAGACACCAGGAGTTGGGTGCTACCAGGTACCCATGAAACCCTCAGCCTGCCCCCCCACACCAACACACACATAAACCCACCTCAGGGCTCACACACCCTCAGACACACACGCATACTCCACACACCCATACCCACACACCTCACTCATACACACCTCAGACATATCCCAACACCCACCTCACACACACCTCACACACCCACATGCACGAGTAACCTCACTCACACGTGCCTCAGACACACCCTCACACCTCGGGCACAGACACCACACACAGCCTCACACACCCCTACCCACAAACACGTCACTCACACATGCCTGACACCTTCACACGTTCACACCTCAGAACAACCACAGACACACAGACCTCATACTCACACCTCAGAACCCCCCACACCTCACACACCCATAAACACCCCAGACACCTTCAAACACACCTCACCCCCACCTCAGACACACCCACATACACCTCAGACACACACACCTCAGATAGACCACACATCTACACTCACCTCACACACACCCACATATACCTCAGATACAGCCACACCTCAACCCACTCACACCTCAGACACAGCTGCAAATATCTCAGAACACACCCACGCCTCAGACACACCCATGCCTCAGACATACCCATGCACACCTAAGACACACCCACACTCATACACGCGCCTACATATACCTCAGATATACCCACATGCACTCACACAAACCTCAGACACACCCACACATTCACACCTCAGACATACCTACAAACACCCCTGGTACACACCTAAAATACACCCTCACACCTCAGACACACCCTTACGCACTTACATGCCTCAGACATACCTGCATAGAAGCTCGCAAACCTCACACCTCCGACACACTTGCACACACACTCAGCACATGTGCTCACACGCACTCCAGAAGTGCTGGGGAATGCGGCCTCCCTGTCCCCACGAGTGAGGGGACGGCACTGAGTCTAGTCCCCCAGGGATGTGCTCGACGCATCTGAACCAGACCCAGCCTCAAGTCACACAGAAGCCACCTGGGCTCCAGAAAGTCGCAGCATCCGGGGCCTTTCCTGCCGCCCTGCCACCATACGGCACCCTGGCGCTGACAGCAGGACCACCCAGCCCGTGCCAGCACACGGTGCTCAGTCTGTGATCCCGCGGGCCCGTGGCCTGTCCCCGTGACTGGAACCACTGACCCTCACCCCCTCCAGTACTGGCACCTGGGGTCCCACCCTCTCGGCCCCGGTGACCCGCATGTGACCACCTGCCCCTGTGCGTGACACTTGGGCTGAGGGAGCCTTTTCCCAGCAGGCACAGGACCCGGCTCCAGCTGGATGCAGGGATGCAGGGCTGAGCCAGGACCAGGCTGGACAGTGGCCGGGCGGCAGCGGCCCCTCCCTGGGCACCTGCTGGTGGTGGGGACCGAGTCCTGAGAGCCTAGCGCCCGGCTGAAGGCCACATGCACAGCCTCTGGCCCTGGCACTGACAGCCCCTGCGGCCACCTCGAGAGAGGACCGGCCGGCCACGAGCACCGTCTCTGCGGGACGATCCATTATTCAGGCCCCCGATGCTATCACGGCCCCATGAGCCAGTAACCGAGCCGTGCCCTGGGCATGCTGGGCAGCTCCATGGGCTCAGGGACTTTCTGCCCGGGCCACGAGGATGTGGGCACACACCAGCACAGGGAGGGAGGACGGGCTGGAGGATGTGTCGGATTGGGAGGTGCTGGCAGGCATGCAAGTGCCCTCAGCACACAGCACCCGCACCCCCGCCCACACAGGCCCACAGCCCCACACCCACCCCCGCAGGCCCATACCCACAGCCCCACAGTGCCTGCCTGGCACACCCGGGGCCAGACAACCCCAATGCCTCCAGCCCCCTCAAGCGCACACAGTGCAGACACCTGGATGATGACGGGGAAGGCGCTGGCCCTGGACCTCGGTCAGGGAGCAGTCCTGGTCCCTGGGTCTCTGGGTGACAGGCCAGGCACCCACCTTCCAGGCCTGGCCTCCCCCACAGCCCTCCAATCCCAGAAACCCGCCCAGGTCAGCTGACCCTGCCCAGCCCCACAGGGGAGCGGGTGTGACCAGTGCCCCCTGCCCCTCTGCACCTGGGACCAGGGACAGATAGGAGGAGGGAAGCAAAGGACACACCCTTCCAGGAAGTCGCCTGCTGGGAGGGGTCCCGGCAGGGGAGGGGGGAGGGGTGGGCGCGGGGGCAGGAGGGGGGCAGAGCCCAGCAGAGTCCTGCTGGCCCCTCCCTTCGGGGGTGGAATTCTACCTTCCGTGCAGTAACTGAGGCCCGCCGGGTGTCCAGCTGCTGAGCCGGACTTGGGTGGATCTCATCAAACCCACAGCCCAGGGCGGGCCTGAGAACTCAGAGGAAGGCCCCTCCCCCACTGCCTCCATCTGCACCCCCCAAGCCTCCACGCAGCCCTCGGGCCCTGCAGGGCTCCCGTGTGGAGCGGTGGGCCGGTGGGCCGGCAGAGGCGAGGCCCTCACTCAGCTGGCTGCGGGGCATCACGGATGGAAAAGGTCATTCCCGCCTCGGAGAGCCAGTCCCGCCCCAGCAAGGCGCGCAGGTGCTTGTCTGTGGCGGCTGATTGCAGCCCGGGCTGCACGGGGTGGGCAGTGGGCAGTGGGCAGCGGGGGCCTCCTGCCTGCCTGCCGCCAGAGCCCCTTCCCGCCCAAGCCCTCCACACGCCTCCTGGCCCTCCGCCCATGCCCAGGTCCCCACAAAGTCCCCCACTCCTGGGCCCGCCAACCTCTGAGACAGATCTGGGCAGTCACTGCCTGGCCCCCTGGTCAGCGCCAGCCTCAGACTCTGAGCCAGCGTCCCACTGGGCCAGACAGGCAGACCCTGGCCCCGCAGGGGACCCTGCAAGCCACCCAGTGTCTCCATTCCTGGACCCCTCGGGCGGGGCTGGGCAGGGCTGGGCCCGAGACACACACCTGCACGCTGGGGTGGCCCCCGGCCGACGCCTTCACGGCCCCCCGGCTGCCTTCTGTCTCGTAGTGCGCCCGGTGGTGGGACTTGGGCTGCACCTCGATGCGCAGCTCGTAGGGCCCCGAGTGGGCGGGCAGTTGCCAGTCCAGGGCGGGCAACGCTGGGCTGCAAGGCAAGAGGAGAGTGTGAGTCCAGCCGGGATCGGGGGGAGGCCCCTCTCGGTGCTCCTGCCCCTTTGGGCGGCCGGCCGAGCCCTCGGGCCGACACGGGCAAATCCAGCAGACCGCGCTGAGCCTGCCCGAGCACACGGTGACCCTCGGCTCTGCGGGGGGCCAGGGAGTGGGGCAAGGGCGAGCGGAGGCCCTGGGGGCTGGCTGACATCCTCCGTCCCCAGCCTGACGCATGGCTCGAACCCCGGCCAGACTTTGAGCTGGGGGGAGGCACTTGTGGACACACCCCCACAGAGGTGCCGGGAGAGGCCAGAACTCCTGGTGGGGTGGCCCGTCCCCAGATGCCCCCTGGGCCGGGGGCCTGTGGTCGACCCTCTCTGCTCTGGACACAAGGAGAAACTGACGCAGTTCCCACGGGAAAGAGCCGGGTTCGCCTGTCTCCCCGGGCGGCTTGGTCGGAGCAGAGGGGTCCAAAGGGGACTGTGAACTGGGGGCGCTTGAATACTGCGCGGACATGTCTGAGTGGTGGCGGTCTCTGCCCCCACTCCGTGTCAGCTTAGCCGAGTGGGTCACAACGCAAACACTGGCGTACACACGCGAGCTCTGGGCTGGGAGTCTCCGTGTGGGCTTCGCAGGCCACAGCCACGATTCACCAAGAAGCTTTCTGAGATGACAGCAAGTGCCTCCCGGCCTGCGTGTGAGGGTGGCAGCCCTCGGCAGACTCTCTCGGGTGCCCGCGTGATGCCTCCTTCTGACCAGCCTCGCAGCGGGACCCGGGGGAGAGCAGACGCCTCACCTGGCCGCTCCTGTGGGCCTGCAGGAGCACAAGCCACCTGCAGCCTGATGCCCACACCGGGTCGGCACGAGCCACGCTCAGCCGCGTGGACACCCGGACCCGCCCTGAGAGCCGCGTGCATGCGCCCGGCCCCTCTCCAAGTGACGTCAGGCGCACGCCAAGCATGTCCACCTTGGGCAGCAGAGAAGCAGACACGAGTCCTGGCTCTGACCTGCGGCCCTCCCTGTGGTGCCCGACACCCGACAGTCCCTCACGGCACCAGGACGCGGTCCTTGTGGCCACTTCTGCACTCCGGGCCTGTCTCTGGGGTGTTTGAGCTCCCACTTTTCCTGCTGCTCTCTCGCCACTGTCACCCCCCCACACTCCCTGCCACTGTTACCCCCAGCCACTGTTACCCTCCTCCGTTACTGTTACCTTCCCCGCCACTGTTACCATCCCTGCCACCCCCTCCTCCGCTACTGTTACCATCCCCCCCCAATGTCACCACTCCCCAATGATTCCCCGCACGCCACTATTCCCAGCTCCACCAACATCTCCATGCCCAGGGTTCTGGCCCCCCATCGTGCCATCCCCATGGTTCCCACCCCCACTGTCCCACCCACCCCCTACCGCCCCAAGCCCTGGTGCCTGCCCCCACAGTCCAGCCCCCGCTGCTATCCTGCTGCTCCCTGTGCGCCATCTCTGCTGTGAGCGTGGCCTGTCGCTGGGAATGCCGCCATTCCTACCTCCGCTTCCACCTGAGACTCTGCCCTGCTGCCGGCTCCACCTGCATCACCGCTTCTACCCTGTGACCGCTTCTCTCTTCTCCTTCCACCCGCATCCTCCCTGCCCGTCGCCACCCCCACCTCTCTCCTGTCGCGACCTGGGTCTGTCCTGCCTCTGGTCCTGTCCTGAAGCACCACAGGACGCCGCAACTACCACTGGGGTCCCCCATCTCAGCCGCTGGCCAGACGGGCTGCCCTGGTGCCCACACGGCAGGGGCCGGCCTCCGGAAGGACACACCTGCCCGGGGACACCCCGACAAGCTCTTCTGGTCACCCCTGACAAGCTCTGCTCTGGCTTCGCCCCGTGGGAGCCAGGTGGAAGAGGCCCCAGCCAGGGGCCAGCGTTCCTGGGCCTGCCTCGAGGCCGGGTCCCTCATCCGAGGGAAGGGGGGGCACCTCAGGGCAGCGTTCCCATGGCAGGCTCCCCCCTCAGCACCCGGCGAGCCTACCTCATGCCCACCTGCCTCTCAGAGCCTGCCTGGCCTGGGCCTGGCACCAGGGAGTCTGTGAAAGCCCTGGCACGTGCCGACACCAACCACGTCCCACACAAGACACCTTCCTGCACCAGCCAAGTCCCACATCGGCCAACTGATGGCCCACGAGACAGACCGCTTCGCCCGGTCAGACCCGTCTCAGCACCACAGGGAGCACAGGACCCAGAATGAGGCTGGGACCCCCACGTCCCCTCACTCGACCCAGGCAATGTCCATCCCTCAGTGAGTCCAGGCAAGGGGCAGCGTGCCCGTCCCTCGGGCAGGGGCTGTCCCCTCACTGGGCGCAGGCGGAGGGCCTGGCTCTGCAGGGAACGGCCATGCCCAGCTGACGAGGCCCAGGAGGCAGGGCTGGGGCAGGGGCTGCCAGGGCCTCCCCCCTCACGCGCCACGAGGTGCCCCCAAGCAGGAAGGGCTATGGGAATCTGAGCGGGGACTCGCTCACGCCACTGCCCGAGGCTCAGCGGGGTGTAGGCCGGGGTCCAGCATTCAGGAGCAGCGGGCCAGCCCGAGGGGAGACCCCGAGGGCCCTGGATGAGGCCGGTGCCCACGTGGGTGGGGAAGCCCCACGACGTTGGAGGGTGACCCTGCTGTGGTCCCGAGGACGGCTCACAGGACTGGGGACCCACCAGCACCCCGGGCCAGGCCAGCCCTGTGCCAGCCAGAGCACGCGTGTGCCATGAACCAGGCCAGGACACGTGTGCTGCGACCAGCTAGGACACATGTGTCCTGCAGGGGAGTAGTGTCTCAGGAGTCACAAGGCAGGGACCCGGGACCCAGCAACCAAGCTGAGCACACGGACGGCAGCCCAGGTGGGTCTGACCGTGGGAGCCTGAACCCCAGGACTCCCCAAAGCTGAGGGGCAGAGCAGTGGGGTCACTAGCCCAGGCCTCCGCCACTGTCCATGGGGCTGTGTCCAGGCCACGGGATGAACAGGCAGGAGCTGAGGACGGGCGTGCTGGGGGTTCTTGGAGTTGACCAGCAGGTCTGTCTTACCAGAGGCGCGGGGGCCTGGGGGGGTGAGGACCCCAGGGGCACCCACGGGTGCTCCCCCTCAGCAGGCCCCATGCAGTGCCAACACGCCCCCTTTCTCCCACTCCCTCCGGGCCCACTGTGCCAACCGGGCTGAGGGCGTGCCCAGCAGGCGTGCAGACTCCTTTCACGGGAGGCCAGGGCCCGCACACTCCCGCAGGACGCCTGGCACCTGGTCTGCCGCCCAGCAGGGCCCTGGCACTGGCCCAGCCCCGTGAGCCTCTCGGCCCAGCCGGGCTGTGACTCCCCAGCCGCCAGCCCAGCGCCCAGCGGGAGGCACCTGCGCACACACCGCTGCCAGGCACCTCGGGGACCCCTGCGGAGACGGAGCCGCAGCTGCACCTCGGGGAGCTCCGGAGCGCTGCCCCTCCCCCGTCTCTGCAGCCTGAGCCTGCCGCCTGCCGAGCGGCCCCTAACTGGCGCCCTCAGCTCCAAGGGTCCCCGCGAGACCCCAGCACCCAGACCCCCGCGCTCACCCGCATTCCCTGTCTCACGGCCCGCGGAGCAGAGCTAAGGGAGCTCAGGGCGAGGGCAGAGGGGAGCCTCTGGGCCAGCAGGATAAAGGTGGGACTGGGGGGAGACGCAGGAGCAGAGAGACAAGGAGCGGGAGGGGCAGGGGGGAAGGGGAGAGAGAGGGAGGGGAAGAGAGAGGGATGGAGAGACACAGGCAGAACGAGGGGGGGAAGAGACAGAGGGAGAGTGAGGGGGAAGGGAAAGACGGAGAGAAAGAGGGGGAGAGAGAGAGGGAGAAAGAGGAGAGGGAGAGCCAGGAGCAGAGAGAGAGAGAGACAGAGGGAGGGAGGAGAGAACAGGAGCAGGGGTGAAGGAGCAGAGAGATGCAGGAGTAGGGAGGAACAGGAGCAGAGAGACAGGAAGGAGTAACAAGAGAGAGAAAGAAAGAAGAGAGAAACAGAGACAGGAGCAGAGACAGGAGAGAGGGAGCAGAGAGAGTGAAAGAGAGCGAGAGTGAGAGCGAGGGGGGGGAGAGCAGAGGGGGGCGTTGCCCAAGGCTGGCAGCCCTCCCCCCCCATGGAAAACTGTTTAATTCAAAATAAAGGCCTGGGGCTGAGTGGCCTGGGGAAGGAAGACCTGGCGGGTTTAGTGGGAGCACTCTGGGCCGGGTGGCCAAGTGGGTGTCCCGGGGGTGGGGCCTCTGCTGTGTGCAGGTGGCCCCTGGAAGACAAGGGGGGCCGTGACACACCGCCCGTGGCTGTGAGGCAGAACAGAGCAGGGGGGGGATCAGCTCGATCCCGGTTGGGGTCGCCCCCCCCAGGGGCCATTCGGAGACAGTCACCAGGGTGTCCCCCCCTAGGACCGCGAGCCGAGGGGGCCATGGACGGCGCCGCCCCAAGGATGTGGGACCCGGGTGGCCGGCTCACCTGGTGTAGCCCGCGGGGGAGCGCGGCCTGGCCCAGGGGTAGGGCGGCTGCGGCACCGACAGGTACTGGTCACACAGGGCGCCCTTGCGGAGGTGCTGGAAGCCGGGGAACTCCTCGGGCGAGAAGTCCACGCTGGGCGACGTGGCCGGGTCCTCGGCGGCCGGCTCCACCTTCAGCGCCACGGAGGCCGCGGGCTCCAGGGCGGTGCGGCGGGCCTTGACCGGGAGGCCGTCGCCCAGGTCCAGCGTGTCGGTGCTCAGCGCGTTGATGGCCGCCACGATGGCCGAGCTGGTGAACTGGGTGGCGCTGCCCAGCCAGGACTCGTCGGTGACGCTGACGCGCGGGGAGCCGTGGGGCGAGGGCGCGGGCGAGGCCTGCGGGGAGGGCAGCGGCCGGCCGTCGGGGCCGTGCTTCCGCTTGGGGCAGGGGGACGGCGGCCGGGAGCAGCGGGCGCCCAGCCAGCTCTCCTCCGTGACGCTGGCGCGGGGTGAGGCGCAGGGCGAGTGGCGGGGGGAGCCCAGCAGGCTGCAGGCGCCCAGGCCGCGGGGGAAGCCCTCCTCGGGCTCCGTGGTCTTGGGGGACACGCAGGGCGACTGCCAGGGGGACGTCTGCGGGGAGGCGTAGGTGTAGGAGCAGCTGGACTCGTAGGACGAGGCCTCCGAGTTGCAGCTGCGGGAGGACACGCTGCTGGCCGGGCTGAGGCAGGAGGGGTCGCGGTAGGCGTCCAGCGGGGGCAGGTGCAGGGTGGCCGTGGCCGGGGAGCGCCGGGCGCCGGGCAGCACGTCCTCCGCCTCCACGTCCGGCAGGAACTGGCCGCCGTGCGGGTGCAGCCCCAGGTAGGGGGTGATCTCGATGCGGGGACTCTCCAGGGCAGGCGCACCGTTGGGCCGGACGCTGCCGGGCAGGAAGTAGCCCGAGGGCCCGCCGTCCACGGCGGCTCCGTAGCCCATGGCGTGGCTGGTCACCAGGCCCGGCCCCGAGGGCTGCAGCTCATGGCACGGGGCCGACAGGGAGGCGTGCACGGGGGCCAGGGGCAGGGCCGCGGCCAGGCTGGAGGAGGCGCAGCTGTAGTGGTCTGCGGGGGGCGGGGAGAGAGAGAGCGTGAGGTGCCGGCAGGCGGACTGGGAGGTCGAGGGTGCAGGGGGGCCCGTAGGCCAGGCACCACATCAGGAGGAACAGGAGACTCCTGGAGGGTGGGGTGATGCGATGCCTGGGGCTCTCACGTGGGCCTGCACGCGACCCCGGACACACATTACAATCTCGGTATCTTTTAGTAAGTCATCACTCGTGTGACTGGCCGTGCCCAGCCGCCAGGCCCTCTGGGCTGGAGACTCCGAAAGGCCTTCTCTGCCCCAGACTTGCAGGCCCGTGGGCCTCTGAATAATGGAAGCGCCTGGAAACCCGAGACGGCCTCCTGCCAGGGGCACCGGCCTGAGGAGGCTCCTCGGGCACAGCGAGGTGGACCCACTCAGTGTGTCCAGGGGGAGAGGGGCAGGGGGCGGGGCAGGAGGGGCGGAGTCAGTGGGTGGGCGGGGTAGGTGGGCGGAGCAACTGGGTGGGCGGTGCTGGGTGGGCGTGGCATGGGCGGGACCAAGGTGGGCGGGGCCAGGATGGGCGTGGCGTGTTGTGGGCGGGGCAGGAGCCGTAGGCCCTTTCTGCAGAGGGTCCCCAGGCTGGTTGCCAATTGCTCTGGGCGACCAGGCAGGCATTGGACAGGCTCCCTGGGGACCAGAGTGAAGGAGGCCCACAGATGAGGCAGGGTCCGGGACATCGCCAGGTCAAGGCAACAGGTGACAGGGGTCACCGGGGAGGGCCTAGCTGACAGGGAACCAACCCCAAGTGCATGACCAGTACTTGGGGTGGCCAGGTCACCTCTGAGACTGACAGGTTCCTCGGCAGAAACCAGTTCCCTCCTACCACAGAAGGAGTCCCACTCCATCACTCATCACATCACACAGCGTGTGTCTCTTGCACTAGCATGCATGCTCACACACAGGGCAGTCACACACACCCACACACTGGGACACACCTTCCTGCTCTCATGAACCACGTGTACCAGCCTACAGCCCACTGAACCACGCGTACCACCACTGCCCATGGAACCCCATGTACCACGCGACCATCCACACGAGGCACGTGTGCCAACCTTTGGCTCCTGTGAACCCCGTGTACCATGCTGCTGCCCACTGAGCAGAGTGCCCTCGTGAACCATGCAACCCAAGAGAGCTCGGCTGCCAGCCACCCCACAGCCCCCTGCAGACCCCAATGTCTCAGGGGTCTCTTCCGCCGTTCCCAACCTCACCGCTCACCTCCCCGCAGCCCCCCATCTCTCCCTCTCCCCCACCTTAGCGTCCAGGCATGGGGGCTTGGTTCTGGGCCCTGTGCAAGCTCCCGGGCCACCCAGCACACCTGGCACAGAGACTCATGGACAAGTGGCCGCAGTGGAGGAGCCGCGCCCACCAGCTTCCTGTGGCCTGGCTGATGACCAAGGGTCACGGCTCCGGGACTGCCAGTCTGAGCCATGGGGGCAGAGTCCCAGACCCCGGCTGAGGGTCCCCAGGCACAGGGAGGGGGACCCCAAGTGGTCCCTCTCTCCGTTCCACACTGACGGGGTGGGTGGTGCCCAGAACCTTCCGGCAGAGACGCTAGGCCTGAGGGACGCGTGTGGGGTAAGGGCAGGGGTGGCACAAAAGGTGGGCGGGCGGGGAGGGCCAGGCAGATGCCCAGCCCGTCCACTCCTCACAGGCCTCCACGGAGCAGGGGATACGCAGACTGGCGTCTGTCACCCTGAAGCAAGCCGGGCGCCAGATTCAAATCCGCATCACCTGGCTAGCCAAGGGCACGGTTCCGGGACTGGGGCCATCTCGGGAAGTCGGCGTCCAGGCCTGGTGGTGGTTCAGGCCGGGCGCTGCCCCCACCAGGGTCGCAGCGGGGGCACCACGCGTCTCGGACTGAGGGAACCACCAGGGAAGGGACAGCACTGGAGACCCTGGTGGGGCTGGACACAGCCCTGCAACCTCTCCCCTCCTCACCGCATCCAGCAGGGGTGCCCCAGGGCAGGGCCGGCACAGGACCCAGGACAGGGACCAGGCCTGGGCCAGGGTGTGGACGGGCCCACACAGCCGCGGGCCTGAGCAAAGCCACGGAGCTCGGCCTGGCCTGGGGCCGCTCCGCACCCCGCACCCCTCCCCCTCACAGCCCGGTTTACCCTGTGCCTCTCCCCCTCCCAGAGCCCCTCCCCACCCACACCCCTGCACCCACCCTGCTCCTCCGCCCCCGCAACCACGCACCCTCCCTGCGCCCCTGCACCCCCCACCCTACCACCCCCTCGACACAGCTCCCCTTCACTGGCAGCCACTGTCCACTCTGCCGAGTCCCTGGCCCAGTCCCACACAGGGGACCAAGTCCCTCCCAGCAGCTCCTGGGGAACCCCTGAGAGAGGAGAGTGGGGTTAGGTGTCACCGGCTCTAACTCCCACACAACAATCTGTAGGTCACCAAGGCTGTGGCTGGCAGCTCTGTTGGGGAAGGTGAGGGCTTGGGGCTTGATGGACAGGGAAACAGGCATACATGGTGGGGCCCTGAGGTGGCCCTGAGGTGGGGGCCTGAGGTGGAGGCCTGAGATGGCCCTGAGGAGGGAGCGTGAAGTGAGGCCCTGAGGTGGGGGCCCTGAGGCGGGGTCCTGAGGTGGTCCTGAGGTGAGGGCCCTGAGGTGGGGCCCTGAGGTGGGGCGCTGAGGTGGCCCTGAGGTAGGGGGCTGGGATGGGGGTCCTGAGGTGGGGCCCTGAGGTGGCCCTGAGGTTGGGGTCCTGAGGTGGGGTCCTGAGGTGGGGTCCTGTGGTGGGGTCCTGAGGTGGGGCCCTGAGGTGGCCCTGAGGTTGGGGTCCTGAGGTGGGGGCCTGAGGTGGGGTCCTGAGGTGGGGTCCTGTGGTGGGGTCCTGAGGTGGGGGCCTGAGGTGGGGCCCTGGGGTGGAGCCCTGGGGTGGGGGTCGGGGTGGCCTCACACACTGTCCCCGCTGCAGGGGTGAGGAGAGCAAAGGAGCAGAGACTGACAGGAAAGTGAGACGCGGCTGTCAGAACAATCCTCAGGCAGAGCCCCGACTTGGACACCCCAAGAGGGCAGCAGAAGGACACCCCTCCCCCATCTTCCCAGCAGAGGCAGGGGTCAGAGGGCGGCACTGAGTGGAGAGGCGCCGGCCCTCCCCTGCAGCCCTGCAACGTCACAGATGCCGTCTGGGCAGGGGGATGCGTGTCCCCAACTGGGCATGGTGGCCCGGGCCCCCGTCCACAGGGGCCAGACACCGCTGTGGGAGCATCAGAGCAGCCCGGAAGAAGGAGCCCGTGTCCCCCACTGGCCTTGGGCAGGTTCCCCCGCGGCCGGCCCGTCTTGGGCTCTAACAGTAGGACCTGCGGCCCCCGTGATGTGTGAGCTGGACCCCATGATTGCCCCGCCGCCGGAGCGGCCAGAGGGAAGGCCCTCTCCGGGCTCCCCTGACCAGGAGGCCAGCGCCCAGCGCCCACGGCCTGCTCAAGGTTGCCTTGAGGCGACGTCCAAGGCGGGCCGGGTGGCCAGCGGGCAGCGCGGGACGCTGCGCTTTGAAATCCAGCGGCGGGTGATATGGAAAATATTATGCAACGGCTCCGGCCCGCGGTGCCAGACGCGTGCCCGGTGCCAGGGCCTGAGTGGGCAGGAGCTGCTGCGGCCTCCACTGGCCCCAGAAGCTTGGGGGGGGGGGCGGGGGGACTGGCTGGGGGGCAGGCGGAGGGACAGGCGGAGGGACAGGACAGACAGACGGGTGGGGGGGGGACTGGCGGACAAACAGGGAAACAGGCGGAGGGACGGGGGACAGGCAGGGGACAGGGGGACAGGGAGACAGGGGGACAGGCGGGGGACAAGCGGACAGACAGGGAAACAGGCGGAGGGACAGGACAGACAGGCGGGGGGGGGGGCAGGCGGACGGACAGGCGGGGTGGGGGGGGTAGGCGGGGGGCTGGGGGGGCCGGTCGGGGCAGCCTCGTCCACCGCCAGCCGGGGCCTGACTCCCGCGGGCTCCCCCCTCCCCTCGGGGCGCGGCGGCGGGGCAAGGCGCGGGGCGCCCCGTCGGATGGGGGGGCACCGGGGCGGGTCGGACCCACCTGGGGTCCGGGCGGGCCGCGGGTCCCGCGGGTCGAACTCGAAGAGGAACTCGAAGTCGAACTCGGGCTCCCCCGGCCCCGTCATGTCGGGCCGCGCGGGCGGGGCGGGGCGGGGCGGGGGCGGGTCGGGGTCGGCTCGGCCCGGCCCGACTCCGGCCCGCAGCGCAGGTCCTGCCCGGCCCCGGCGGTACCTGCGCCCGCCCCGCGGTAACGTGACCCGCCGGCCCCCGCCCGTTTCCGGGTTTCCATAAACAGCCGCGGGCGCCCCGAGCGGCCAGCGCGCCGGACACTGCCCGCGGGACACCGTCGCGGGACACACGGACGCGGGACAGACGCACACATAGACGCGGGAACACATGGACGGGGGACACGGGCATGTGGGACACACGGGCGAAGGACACAGGGACACATGGACTTGGGACACACGGACGTGGGGACACAGGGATGCGGGACACACGGACGCGGGGACACAGACACAGGACACACGGACACACAGACGCAGGGACACATGGAAGTGGGACACGCCAACACACAAGACATGGAGACACAGGGACTCAAGGACATGGAGACACACAGCACTCAGACATGGAGAGACACAGACACACGGACACGGGGACACAGATGCAGGGACACAAAGACCTGGGGACACAGATGTGGGGACACACAGACATCGGACACAGATGGGACACACAGACGTGGGGACACAGATGTGGGGACACACGGACACAGACACTCATGGACCCTCAAACACAGGGACACACGGGCACTTGGACACGGGGGCACATGGACATAGCAGGGACAACAGGACACAGGGCCATGGAGACACAGACATACAGACGCACAGTCAGAAATGGGGACACACGGACACAGGGACATGGGCACATTCGACCACACAGAAACTCAGACGCAGGGAAACTCGGACACGGGTACACACTAACACGACACAAGGACACACGAACACGGGGACACTCAGACACATGGACATGGAGACGTTCGGACACATGACCACAGCACAAGGACACACAGACATGGGGACACACAGACACTAGGACTCAGGGACACACAGGCCCTCCCTCAGACACACACAGGGACACGGACACGGGACATTCGAACACACACTTGGACACAGGGACACTCAGGGACGTGAGACAGGGAGAAAGGCACCCTGGCACACAAGGCAGACTCCTGGACACAGGAGACCCGCTCGGGCACAGGGACCGGACAGGGGGCCCTCTCGGCCACACAGCACGGCCCGGGCAGCCATGCCCCATGAGGTCGAGGACCCGGAAGCGAGCGGGGAGGACTCTCTGTCCTGGGTGGGCGGGGGGGGGGGTACACCCCTGCACCCGAGAGGCCCCAGGACCCCAGGCCAGTGGCGGAGCAGAGGGGCCAGGCCTTGCTCTCTCCCTCCCGGCCCTGCGGGGAGCGACTCTGAGCCAACCAGACAGACCAGCCCCCAGGGACAGACCCTCAGCCCTCCGTGCCCACGGCCTGCCCCTGGGGAGCGGCTTTTTCTAGAAACAGCCACCCTGGAGCTTCCCGGGCGGCTTCTGCGAGGCTCCCCGTGGCCTGGTTCCGTTTCTAACAATAGGTCTCACGTCGGGCCTGCGGAGCCCGTTGGTTTGCTGCCGGCTTTTCTGCTGACCTTTGTGCAAATGGCACTTCTGTTTTGCCGTAAAGTGTTTTCATGCCACATCTCGTTTTCTCTGTTCAGCGTCGTGAGCTTTCCTTTGACTTCAGGCCCTTCCTGGCACACCACAGCCCCGCTTGCGGGCAGCCGCCCTGGGCAGCCACCTCGGCAAAAGGCATCGGGAAAGTGCTCACTCCCGCGCCCACCTGCCCTCAAGCCCCGGCGCGGCCCAGTGCCGGAGCTGATGGCGAGCCCCTCGCCAGCGACCCTCCTCCCGGCTGCGTGTCAGCGGAAGGTCTGGACCTCTCTCCAGCAGTGTCCTGGGCGGCAGCCTGGCCCTGGGTGCGAGGGCGCCGGCCCCACCGGGCTAATCTGGATCAGGAGCTCTGCGGGAACAGGCCCGGCTTTGTTCTGCTCTGGGAGCTGCCCGGGGCCTTGCACTGGAGCAGGCCCGGCCGAGCGGTGGGTGGGGGCGCCCTGCGAGGCTGCACCTCGGTGCCGGCCACGGAAAACAAACACCACGCCTGCCGCCCACTCGCCCACGCTGCTGACCAGAGCCCAGGCGAGCAGGACCCGCGCCCGGGGCCCGCCGGGGTCTGGGTGCGGGCCTGAACCCCACTCCGCAGCCTCACAGTCGCACCCCTGTCCCATCGGAGCGCCGCACCCTGTCGCAGAACCGTGAAAACCGCCCCGTGGCCCCGTCCCTCTCCCCAAGAAAACACCCTTCGCTGCAGGGCAGACCCGACCGGCGACTCGCAGAGGAAACTGGCTCGACGGGCGACGGGAGGTGGGTGCACCCGGCCGTCGGGGAAGCGGGCGCGCCCTCCCCCGCCAGCCCCCAGCCCCTCCAGGCCCGTGGAGGTGGGCGGGCCGCGGGGAGGGTCCCACTCCCGGAACCGCACGCCGGTGTGCCCAGCCCCGCGGGGACGCGGCTGCCCCGGCCTGTGTTTATGGAACGGCAGGAAACGGCACCTTCCTTTCTGCCTCCCGGGGAGGGCCTGGCGCGGCGCGCGAAGAACTCAGGAAAACACTGCGGAGATACGGGGTTCCCCGAGCCCCCGGCCCTCCCGGCACGGGGCTCCCCGTCCCAGGCAGAGGCCCCGCGCCCCGCTCGGGGCGGCGGACGGGGCGGGAGCCGCGGGCGGGCCGCTGCGGGGCGCGGTCGCAGGGTCGTCGCCGCCGGCCCCTCTCGGGCGTCCCGCTATGGACGCGCGGGCGGACGGGCTCGCGCGCCTGGGACCGTCCGGACCCGCGACGGCTCCGAGGGGCGGCGCGGCGGGCCCGCTGCCCCGCGAGCGCGCGTGGGGTCGGGCGCGGGCGGGGGCGCGCGCCCCGGCCCGGCGAGGTGCTGCCCGCGCGTCCCCACGCCGCGCCCGGGATGCGCTCCGAGCCGGGGCCGCCGGGAGGGCGGGGCGCGGGGCTCACCTTCCTCTGCCGACTTCATGGTGCCGCGGGCCGGCCCCAAAGTTTCGGCGCCCGCGCAGCCCGCAGAGGCCGGAGGCCCGAGCGGAAACTTGGAAGCGGCCGGGAAGCTGGTACTTGGCATCCACGCGGCGCGCGGGCAGCGGCTCGGACGGGAGCGGACCCGGCGGGCGGGGCGCGGGGGGCGTGTGCGCGGGGCCGGCGGACGCGCGGGCGGTGGAGCCGCGCCGGCCGCTGCTGGCGCGCGGGGACCTGCGAGTCCCGCTCTCCGCCGCGCTCTGACGCAGGCCCGCGCGCGGCCTCCGCCTTTTTAAAGCTGGAAAACACCTCCCCCGCCTCCCGCCGCCCGGCCGCTCCCGCGCCCCCTCCCGCCGCCGTGACATCACGGCCGGCCCGCCCCGACCGGCGCCCGGGGCCTGGGGCCCAGCGCCGCCCTCCGCGCCGCGCCGCTGCTCGCCTGGCACGCGGGGCGCGGGGACGCGAGGGGCGCGCGGGGCGCGGGGGGCGCGCGGCGCGGTGGTCGGGGGACGCGCGGGAGCGCCGAGGGTGCGGGCCGGGCAGGGGCGCGGCGGGCCGGCCGGGACGCGCGGGGCGCCGGGGCGCGGGGCGCGCGGGGTGCCGGGCAGGTCCCGCCGGCGGGGTCCGCGCCGCCGTCCTCGGGGCCGGGCGGTTGGACGCGGGGCGCGGGAGGCGGGGGGCGAGGAGCCCCGCATGCTGAAGTCATTACGGGGAGGCGCAGGCTTCCCCCGCGGTGGAAATTTGGAAACGCGCCCCCCTGGCAGGCGGCGAAAGGAAATTCCCGTCCCGCTAAATTGCTACCAGATTGCAGGCCGGCGGCGTCGGCGCTGCCCTGCCCCGTAAATACCGGCGCGGCCCCGAGGCCTGGGCTGGGGGGTCGGGACGTGCCCCGCCGCCGTCCGGGCCCCGGGGCGCGTTCGGGGCCGGGCTGGGGTGAGGGGTTCCCGTCGGGGACGCGCGCTCCCCGCCTGTGACGGGGACCCGCGCTGGGCCGGGCCGGGCGGGCTTCGCTCGCTAAGGCGGGTGCTCGGGGGTCGCCGCCCGGCGCTCGGCCCTGGCCGGCGAGCGCCCGGGCGGCCGTGGCGCGGGCAGCGGCGTGGCCCGGCCCCGGAGCCCCCAGACGGCGCCCAGGCGTTGTCGCCGCGAGCGCGGGTCCCGGCCGCCCCGGGGCCGCCCGGCGCTTCCCTTGCCCCGACGGGGCGCGCGGCGCGTCTCGGGGCCTGGCCGGGGGGCGCGTCCCTTCCGCGGCGACTTTCCCGGCGTCGCAGAAAAGCGCCTTTGCCGTGGCGCTCAATGCGCCCCTTATCCCCGCGGTGACGCGCCCGTCTGTTTCCCCGTGTTTAATGCCGTTGCCGGGGCCACGGTGGCCGCGCGCCAGCGCCAGGGAGTTCCGGAGGCGGCGCGCGCCCAGGGCCCGGCCCGTGGCCACCGGCCCGCGCCCCGCGCCCCGGACCCCGCGCGCCGCCTCCGGACCCCGCGGCTCGCACGGAGGCCCCGCGCCGCTTCCCCGGAACCCCGCGCTCCCCCGAACCCTGCGCCCCTTGCCGCGCCCCTGCGCCGGGCCGCGCCCCTGCCCGGCCGCGCCCTCCTCCCGGTTCCGGCCGCACGTCCCGCCTGCCCGGTCCTCCGCGCCCCCGAGCATCCCGCGACCCCCGCGACCCCGCGACCCCGCGCCGGCCTCCTTCGAGGTGTGTTTTAGGCGCTACTAGGAGAGACGGGACACGGTTTTATTTTAAGAATTGGTGATGACTAACGAAGTTAAAAGGAGCTTAGGACAGAAAACAAGACTATTTTTAGGTCACTGTTGTTTCTGCGGATTATTGGGCAAATACACCCGCGGACGCGAACCACTTTCCAGGGCCCTGCGGGTGCGCATCTCTCGGCTTCGAGGATCGCGGTCCCGAGCGGGTGCGCGCTGCCAGCCGCCCCGGGGGAGGGAGACCCTGGGGCGCCCCGCCCGCGCGCCGCCGGCCCCTCACCTGCCGGCAACCTGAGCGGCTCCCCTTAAGCGGGAAAGGGTGGGTTTTAGATGTAAAAGTTAAAGCAGATTTTCCCACAAAGCTAGGAGGTGTGGACGCAGGGCTGTGGCTCCAAGGAGGAGTGCCGGGCGAGCGGGAGCCCCGGGTCAGTGGTCGCCATCCGAGGCCCCTGCATCTGGACTCCCCTCTGGGTTTGGGGTGATCCTCTGTCCACTCTGAGGGAGCTCGGCGCTGCCTGCCCGGCTCTGCAGGGGAGCCACGTGGCCAGCGGCCAGGACCCGCGCTCAGTGGTCCTCTTCCCTAGCTCCAGCCCTCCCTCTGGCCCTCCCCCTCCCCCTCCTTCTCTCCCTCCCTCCCTCCCTCCCTCCCGCCCCCTCTTTCCCTTCCTCAGTTTGGGGACCCCTGAGCCAAGCCCTCCAGCTTGCTCTCCTGTATTGTGTGTGCTGTGCCGCAGCCCAAGCCCATGTGCTGGGTGGGCCCCGAGTGTTGGGGGGAGACTCGGTCCTGGCTACTGCCCCCCAGAGCTGCCTCTCGCTGCTTCTCAGCCTTCCCGTCCTGTCTCCAGGTGGGAGTGGGCTCTGAGGTCCTGGTGCTGGCCTCTCCTTCGGCGGCCAGATCCCTGGTCACACACATGCGGTGACCAGCAAGGGCCCCCAGGAGGCTGCTTTGGATTCTCTGAGGGACCCCCCAGAAATCGGGTGCTGGGTCCCTCCAGCTGTGTGCTGAGATTTGGGGGCTGTGACCTCTTAGCTGCTTCCAGAGTTCTGAGTTGCTCTGGGGTGTCCTCACAGCTGAGTGGGGGCCCAGGGGTGTCCAGGAGTCAGCGGGGGACAAGGGTGTTTCCAGGACTCACCCGCCTCCTGCCCTAGACCAGGCCTCTCCCCACGACCTTCCCCCAGGCACCCCCATTCCTCTCAGGTTCCACAGGGCCCTGCCCCAAGGGCTCCGCGTCTGGGCCCCAGGGAGTCTGGTGGCGCCCCATGTGCGGGGACCTGCTGTTCGGGGTCCTGCCTCCCCCCAGTGGGGGTGGGAGGAGCAGGTGGAGAGTGAGCACGGTGTGCCCAAGGGCAGATCCTGCACCAAGTGAGTGTGGGCTGGGAGGACCTTGGCTCTTGAGGGACACAAGGCCAGCACCCAGCCCCCAGAGCCGCCCCCCAGAGCCAGCCCCAGCCCTGCATCTTGCCGGCACAGGGGCTGGCGCAGTTTCAGGGCTATGGAACCCTTATGAGGGCTGCCAGGAGTCCGGCTGTGGGTTGCAGTGACATTCTCCCGGAAGGCTGAAGCGCCAGGTCCCAAGCCTTGCCACGTGTCTGGGACCACAGTGGTTCTTCTGTGAGCAGAGTAACAGCCAGACATTGGGGGACACGTCCACCCAGCACACCTGAGCCGAGGGGCAGCAGAGCCGTCCACAGGGTCACGCCAGGTCTCTGTTCTCGAGGGCCCTGCAATAGTCCCGGGGCAGGTTGGATGACCCCAGGACGGCCCACCGGTCAGAGCACAGCCTCCCCCCGCCCCCACCATCAGCCCCCGCTCTCCCGGTCCCTCTGTAGGGTGAGGACAAGTAGGGGCCCTGATTCACCATTCGCCTCCCCAGTGTGGCATGTGCCAGGCACCAGCCCCGGGGCCTCCTGCAGGGGGAGTGGATGGAGGGGTGTGTGCGACCCCCACACACTTTCCCTGGAGTTGAGTGAAGGCAGGGGGCGGGGGGAGGTTGAGAGGACCTGGGTCCCCAGCCCCAAGCAGCCCTTTGGATGAACCAGCCCTGCTCACAAGCTCGATGGAGGTTCTTGAAGCTGCCTCGCCTTGTGTGGGTTAGTTTCTGGGTGCTCAGGGCTCAGCCCTGGGGCCGCCCAGTGGGTGGATGGGGAGAGCCCAGGCCTGGCCCTGGGGCTCGGAGCCCCGAGGAATGGGCGGGCAGCCCTGGACACACCATCCAGGATGGGCCTGGACAGTTTTGCTTGGCCTAGAGTGCCACCTTCTGGAAGCTTCTGGAACCACACCCTCCTAGGGCCTGTGGGCAGAGCAGGCACCTATGGACAAGGGCACTGACTGCAGGGGCCCAGGGGCCCAGGTCTCAGGGACCCGACCTGGCTCGTGGCAGCAGGCTCTGGGGATGCCTGGGGAAAGTAGGGAGCGGGAGGCACCCGAGGAGGGGTGCCATGACCTCAGGAGAAACCCCGTCACCTACAGACAGGCCTGTTGGCTGCCCCCGGTGCCTGGACTCTGCCTTATGTAGGGTCAGTCCTCAAGGTGAGGACCCAGGCAAAGCCAGGAGGGCTTCCTGGGAGAGGAAGGAATCTTATGGCTCAGTCGGCTGGCCTGCTCCCGGGCCCCCTGCTGACCTGTTTCTGCCTCTCATGCTGACCCCTATCCCAGGTCCCCTGCTGACTCTACTCCTGAGGTCCCCCCGCTGACCTCTGCGCCCAGGTCCCCTGCCGGCACATCTCGGGGGTCCCTGGCATGGCAGAGTGTGGTGGAGGCATGCCCACCTGCCCGTAACCTGGAGCCGCAGCTGGGCGGGGAGCACCTCCACTGCCCACCCCACCAGGCTGCGTCTGTCTGCCTGGACCGGCCTCGCCACAGGCCACCGGCTGCTGTGGTCTCACGCCCTGGCCAAGTCAGGGTCTGCTTCTCTGGCGGCTGGCCCCAGGTGCTGTCCCAGAGCTGGGGGTACTGCTGCGGGCCACAGCTGGGGGGTGGCTGTGATAGTCCGAGGCTCGCTGAGGGGTCCGGGCCACTCGTCTCCGCACGTGCCGTCTCGCTCACCCCTTCCCGTGGCCCACCCAGGCTTTGGGGTGCCGGAGCAGGTGCAGACAGGACAGGGTCCATCCCGGGGTGTCACGTGGATGTGACCTGGTCTCCTCTCCACAGTGGGGGCAAGGACAGGCCGTGACATGGTGCCGTGGGGGGCTCCGCTCTGCAGACCCTCCCAGAACACCCCTGCCCTGCCGCCTGCTCCTCCCCAGGGCCCACTCCCTGCAGGCTGGGCATCGCTCAACAAGCCACAGACGGGGCCAGCCCTGCCCAGAAGGGAGCAGGAGTGGTGTCCGGGGGGCAGCTCCCTCCTTACACACAGCCCACTCCTCACGGCTGGGTGATGGTCCAGCCCCAAATGCGCTGCAGTGACACCTGGTGGGCATCGGGGGAACTGCTACCCCAGGCCAGGGAGCCTGGGCCACCAGGAGCAGAGGCCACCCACAAGGGTGGGGGCTGGGACCCAGTGGTGGCTCCAGGACCCGGCAAGGCCCAGCAGGTCACCTCGCCCACGGGAACACCCCCTCTCTCAAAGGCCCGCGAAGGGTCTGAGTGGGGTCTGGGTGGGGGCAGGCCCCTGGCTGTGAGGGCGTGTGAGCTGGGCGGAGGCCTCGGGGAGGCCCGTCATGTCCGAACCGGACCCCGCGGCAAGGGGCAGGCCAGGCCGGCTGTCACTGCGTGCAGGGAACGAGCGTGGGGGACGCGGCCCTCCCCGCGGCACGAACACAGCCCCGACAGCAGACAGTGCACTGGTTTATTCGACCCCGAGGCCACGTGGGAAGGAGCAGGCCAGGCATGGCCCGGCTGCCATGAACGCCTCTGGGCTGGGTCCGGTGAGGCTCCTTTCGGCGGCCTAGGAGGACAGCTTGGAGTAGCTGGGCGGGGACAGCTTGCGCTTGAGGTGCTTGAGGACGTAGAGCGGGAGGCAGCTGACCACGGTGATGGCCGACACTTTCCACAGGAAGGCGGCCGTCGTGATGAAGGTGACGTCTGCAGAAGAGGCACAGGTGAGGGGCCTGGGGACACTGAGGGCACAGCCTGCACCTCAGGGGCTCTGGGCACGGCACTGGGCGGGCAGGGTGGACCCTCTCCCTGGGCCAGGAGGGACAGATGGGCCCAGGCAAGCCCGCGGCTCCTGTGTGGGCCACAGATGCGAGGCAGGGCCCCAACACTCATGGCCAAAGTGCTCACTTCCCGCCCTTGTGCTCGGAGGTCCCAGCCAGGGTCCGCTAGTGAATTGACCATGACCGACCCGCGGCCTCAGGACGGAGCCCCGATGGCCCATCTCCCCAGCCCCCCGTGGACACAGCACCGACTCGATCACGGGCTGAGAAGTGGCGCTGCTCAGTGCCCAGGAGCGGCCCACGCACAGCTGTCCATGGCGCGGGGCTCTGGGGCCCGTGGGAGGACAGGGTGAGGCGGGAGCGGTGGCCTGTGGCTGTCGAGCTGTGTGCGGAGAAGTGAGTGTGACTGGAGTGTGGAGTCAAGAGCGTAACAAGTGTGTGGATGGCGTCATGAATGTGACTGGAGTGTGTGGAGTGTGAGTGCTGATAGAGTCGGGGTGGGTAGTCGTGTGACTGGGGTCCGTGAAATCATGAGTGGCTGGAGAGTGTGTGTGTAATTATGTGATTGGAGTCGTGTGACTGTGGTCTGTGTGGAGTGATGTGATTAGATTGTGCGGAGTTGTGAGTGATGGGAGTGTGTGTGTGTGTGTGTGTGGAGTAATGAATGTGACTGGAGTGGGTGGAGTATGCATGTATAGTCGTATGGCTGAAGTGTGTGTGGAGTTAAGAGTGAATGGAGTGTGTGGAACTGTGTCACTGGACTGTGTGTGTGTGGAGTCGTGTGTTAGTGTGTGTAGTCAATGAACATAAAACTGAACTGTGTATGCAGTAGTGAGTGTACGGAGTTGCAAGTGTGACTGGAATGTGTGGAGTCTGAGTGTGACTGGAGGGTGTGTGAGGAGTTGTGTGACTGGGGCTTGCGTGTGTGGAGACACGAGCGTGACTGGAGTGTGGAGTTGTGAGTGTGACTGGGGCTTGTGTACGTGGAGTTGCGTCACTGGAATGTGTGTGGCCATCAAGAGCCTGCTGGGCTGACACCCCAGCCTGAGTCCTGAGCCGAGAGGGAGAGGGAGAGGGTGGAGGCTGGGTGGGAGTTGGGGGGCCCACAGCTGTGCCCTGAGAGGTTCAGGGGAGCAAACCTGCTCCCACGGGAGGCGGAGGTTGGATCTCGGTGCTGAGGAGCAGGGGAAGGTGCCGGGGCCGCGGCGGGGAGGGGGCATGTGGGGGGAGGGGGCACAGGCAGGGCAGGATGGGGCGAGTGGGGTGGGGGCGAGAAGCGCCTGGAAGCGGCCCCGTGGCGGTGCTGGCACTCACCGAAATACTCGTTCAGAAACGCCAGCGAGGCCACGTAGCAGCCGAGGCTCAGGAACTCGGCCAGGACCATGAGCCAGTGCCAGGTGCGCAGCGTGAGCGCCACCATGAGCAGCTCGGTGAGGACCAGGGCCGTGAAGGAGATGGCCACCACGTGCACGAACTCCGACTCGAACAGCACCAGCGCGCCGTAGATGAGGACGCTACCTGCAGGCCCCCGCGAGCGCTGGCTTAGGGACTCCGGAGGTGGGGGCGGCTCGCGACCCCAGGGGTGCCCGGGCAGAGCCGCGCCTCTCCCCTCTCTCTGCTCAGGGCAGGGGGGCGGGCCGGGGCGGGCCCGGGTGTGAGGTCACCGTGGGGGGCAGGGGTCCTACCTTGGTAGATGCTGATCAGCACCCACAGGAGGAAGGTCTTGAAGGACAAAGACCGGCCCTGCGGCGAGAGCGAAACCCTGGGTCCCGCACAGCTCAGGGCCTGCCCTGCGTCCCCAAGGAGCGCTGACCCCCCTCGCCCAGTGAAGGTGGCCGCTCCCCGACCACGGTGAGGCCCCGGCCCGACCCTGCACTCCGCGTACATTCCACCCCCGTGGGCCACTCTGCCCCTCCTCAACCGCCCTCCCCCACGGGCCACTCTGTCTGTCCGCCCTTCCAGCCCGGGGCCTGCGTGCTAGGAGTCTTCAAAGCGGGCCATCTTGTTCTGTTCTCCTCAACCCCTGCCGTGAGGACCCTGGTTCCCGCTTCTCTGTGGCATTTCAGTCAGCCTGTGGATGGCTCCGGGTGCTCACGGCTACTTGGTCGTCAGAAGTGATCAGACACGCTGGCTGGGCTGCGGCCCGCTGCCGTGCGGGGGGTTCCGTGCAGGGCGGCATTGCTACTCTGGGGCCCCTTCTCATTTCGTCTCACTTCTGTGCCCTGCTCTCCCTTCCTGGCAGGCGCGGGGAACGCAGATCCACCTCTCAGAAGGTAAAGCCCGTCTGAACACATGCCGCAGGACAGACGAGGGAGGGCCCGCCAGGGTTTGATGTCTGAGCCGCTCTCCAGTCGTGTGCAAGGACGGGCCCCGGCAGCGTCCCACGCTGGACCCACCTTCCCCTACGGTGGCCCCCACGTGCCCACTGCTGCGTGTGCACACACGGCTGTGGCCTCCCGCCTGCAGCCAAGTCACACAGAGCTGAAAGCACCCAAGAGCCCCAAGGAAGGGGCCACGGGGTGCAAAGAGGAGGATGGCACTCGCCCCTACCTTGCCCAGGCTGGTTCCTGGGAGGGGGACTGTCCCACACTGGCCAGCGGGGAGCAGGACACTGGCTCCAGGCTGGACTGTGTGCTCGGACGTGCTCAGACACACATGAGGCCTGACAAGCGCTCGGTGCCCGAGTGCACTGCAAAGATGGCAATGCAGGTCCTGGCCCTGGGCACGCCTGAGGAGGGCGGCCACTCCTGACCGAGACTGCTCCTGGAATGCTCGGGACAGAGCCGCCACCACAGCGTGTGTCCCGGCTGGCTGCGCTCTGACGGGGGCCTCGCCCTGTCCACTGGCAGGTCACTGAGCGCCACCCTTGAAGGCCAGGGCAGCAGGCCATGCCCTGTGTGGCTGGCGACCGGCTCCCCTTCCAGGTGCTCCCTTGCTGCTCTGTGGACTCCGAGCTGCCTCCTGGTGACGTCACAAGGGCGCAGGGACACACGTGACAGCCCAGGGCCCCGTGGCAAGGTGAGTGCTGGATCTCACTGTCTTAGTCAGCAGCCAGACTCACTGGGGCCCAAACGCGGGAGGGTTTGGCCAGAAACGGCATCGGGAGCCCAACTATTTGCTAAGTCCTCAACTCCCACAGGGGCCTGGAGCAAGGTCAGAGCCAGAGAAGTCAGCCCGGGCGGCAAGCAGGGCCGGAGCAGCCCACCTTGGTGAGGTCCTTGTAGAGCTCCGGGTACAGGATTGCCACCTCGGGCTTCACGTCCTGGTCCAGCACCAGAGAGAAGACGGGGAACATGGTGTAGATGGTGGCGTACCTGCAAGGGGCGGTTCGTCATGCGCCGAAGAGGCCCCTGGAGTGGGGTCTGCGCCCCGGCACCCCCAGGCTCTGGGGGAGGGGCCGGAGAGGCCCCATGGCGGCTACTCACCCCACCATGAGGAAGCCCTGGTACAGAGGGACGGAGGCGAAGTAGAAGATGGAGGAAAACACAGCCTGCAAGACAGCAAGTGACCCGCGTGCCCACCATGCACCCACCACATGTGCCCGCGGGCGCCCAGCCCAGCCCAGCCCGGGCAGCCCACCTGCATGGTGGAGATGATGAGGCCGCGGTGCATGACGAACTGGCCCAGCGCCGCCGAGCGCTTGTAGCTGCTGCGTCCGTGCACCATGAGCAGCCGGCCGATGTGCTTGAACTGCGTGATGGAGAAGTCGGCCGCCAGGGAGGCCTGTCTGCCCTCCTGCGGGGCACAGGGGGCACGGGGGGCTCAGCGCGGCCCCGACATGCCCGCTGTGGGGGAGGGGGGACGTGCACACTCACGCACCCTGCCCTCGATGCCAATGCCGCAGTCTGCAGTCTGGATCATGCTCACGTCGTTGCCGCCGTCACCTGGGCACGGAGACGCGGGCTAGACGTGGCCTGCTTCCACCGTCCTCCCACAGGGACCCAGGGGCCGGCGTGGTGGTCACGAGCGGAACGCCGCGCCTGCACATGGGCGCGTGCCCTGGAACCCTCCCCGAGCCCCGGATTCTGCTTCCCCAGGAGGCCAGGAAGGGCCCCCCTGCCAGTGAGTGGCCCCTGCCCCCGGCCCGTGTCTCACCGATGGCGCACGTGCGCTTGCCCGTGTGCTGCTGCAGGAGCCGGACGATGTGGGCCTTCTGGGTGGGGGAGCAGCGGCAGCACACCACAGCTGGACACTGGCAGGCCAGCTCCACAAACTCATGCTCGTAATACTTGAGGCAGACCTGGGGGCGAGACGGGGTCGTGCCTGGCCCCACTCCAGGGCGACGGCAGCAGGGGGGGCTGCTCGGGGCACACCCACCTCCAGGGAGTCCCCAGGTATGACCAGGGCGCAGTCCTGCCTCCGTCGAAACGCGTTCAGCTCCAGGTGGGCTTCTCCTCGGCTGGCGACCTGCATGCGGGAGGGAGGCGGGGACCCCGATGCTGCTACCCTGAGGCCCAGCGAGGCCTGGCGTGGGCACCGGAGAGGCCAAGGGCAGCCCTGCGAGCTTGCACGTCAGACCAGTGACCCACTGGGAGCTTTCCAGAACCTTCTCTGGGAGTGAGGTTGCTCCTCTACCGCTGAGTGTGAGGTGGCGCGGGCAGTGCAGGGCTGGCCCCATAGGGTGGTAGGAGCCTGTCACGGCCACATGCCCAGCCACTGCCCCTTGATGCCCCCGCTGTGACACCACCCTCTCCTCGAGCTCAAGCAAAAAGGACCGACTCAAAAGGCCAAATGACTTCAAGAATAAAATAAAGCCTCAATTTTTGAAATGTCATGATTTTAAAAACCGAGGCATTTCCAGAGCTATTATGATTTTCAACACGATTTCTGAGGGAAATTTACCATGGCTGGAAAGAAATGACTTACTACTAAAGGATCCTAAATGAAAACGTTCACGTGATCTAAATTTTACTCATCTTTAAACAGGTTTTACTGCGCAAATGCTAATTTGCAACCTGGGAAGTCAACAACTGGTGTGCAGTTCCGTCAGGCTTGCTATGTGCACCGGGAGCTGCAGTCTGCAGGCCACTGGGCGGCTGACACCCCGAGCGGTGTGTTCAGACACCTCCCGAGCACACCCCAGACACCCCCCAGCTCTGCTCCCCCTCAGTGTGGCCACGGCCTGCACGGACAGGGAGCACATGTGCAGATGATGCTCTTCAGGGTCTTGGAGAGAATCTGGGCTGAGCATCTGTTTTGTTTCTTGGGTGACACCTGGCAGTGCTCAGGGGTCACTCAGTGGTCCTGGCTCTGTCCTCAGGAATCCCTCCTGGTGGGCTTGGGGACTTATGGGGTGTCGGGGCTTGAACCCACGTTGGCCGAGTGCCCTGCCCGAAGTACTATGGCTCCAGCCACTGGGGAGCATTTGATCTGGAAGAGGACCATAGATGACAATGGCCACCCTGAGCCACCCTCACAGCCTGGCTCCCAGCAGATGGACGACCAGGTGACGTGGTCGAATATGAACTGCCGCCTTGGGCACTGGGTGCTGTCTGGGCATCACCCTAGCCCTCGGAGTATACAAACGTTTAGACATGAAGAGACATAGTTCAGAAACAGGAAGTCTGATGGCCCAGGAGGACAGACCCTCAGCAGCTGGTGCTCTGCTCCCGGACGCCTTCACGCGTGAGTGGCCACGACATGACCAGCTCCACATCAGGAAGTGGACAACTTACTGGCCTGAAGATGTGGACGTCCTGTGTCCTGGACACCAGGTGGGAGCTTTTGGCGATGCAGGTGGCTGTCTCGAGCTTGTCACCTGTCAGCATCCAAATCTGGGGCAGAGTCGAGGCTGGAGAACTGCAGCCCTGAGGACAGTCTCCCTCCTCCAGAGCATCCCGGCCAGCTGCCGTGGGCCCACCCCAGAGCGGATGGGGGCCCAGCAGCGAGGGAGGCCCCCTGGGCCAGAGTTCGGGAGCCAGCGCCGGGCGTCTCGGCTCTCACGAGCTGAGACTGAGAAGGGGGTGACGGGGACGGCACCAGGCTGGGAAGCTGGAAGGGACGTGGAGGGAGGTGGGCTGCTGGGTGACAGCCACGGCTGTGACAGAATCCCCAGGTGCTGTGACAGCCACCAGGCGCAGTGACAGCAGGTGCCGTGGCGTGCCAGGCACCGGCGTGCAGCCCTGCCCCCAGCAGCCTCTTCAGATGACCGCCCTGGGGGCTGCGTCCTGCTCAGAACTGAGGCCCGGTCTTAGGGAGCTGCACAGTGTCCACAGAGAGGGAGCACAGAGGCGAGTGCAGCCCCCCCGAAAGCAGCACCTAGACCCTGAAGTCCCCCCAGGGGGCAAGAAGGGAAAGGGGACCCTCGAGCTGAACCCCAGCCCTGCTGCACCTTGATCCCCGCGTTCCGCAGCATCTCCAGGGTGGGCCGCACGTCGGCCTGCAGCTGGTCTTCCACGCCCGTGAGGCACAGCAGCTCCATGTCCCGCTCCAGGCTCTCCACCACGGCCGCCACCTTGATGGTCCGGTCGTGGAGGCTCAGCTTGGCCTGAGCGTAGCGGCTCTGGGGAGAGGCAGCACCGTGGGTCCGACGTGCCCATCACGTGCGCCCGCACGGGTCCCGCACCCCCGCCTGCTGGCCCGATGCCGAGGGGATGGGTCCGCACGACTTCCTGTGCACGTGGCAGCCACAGCCACGTTCTGACTGTCCCCCGCGGCTGCCAGCGGCCAGCACAGGGAGGCAGCACTGAGTAGACGGTGGGTTCCCTGCACCCCACTTCCCTCAGACGAGGTCCCCCAGCTGGTAACTCCCCATTCACACCTCCCTTCCTCAGACGGTGGGTCACCTGTGGGGCAGGGGCAGCGCTCACCTCAAAGTCTTGGTATTGCTCCTCTGTCAGCGGCCGCCGGGCCACCACCAGGGTGCGCAGACCTTCACGAGCCATGTTCCCGCACTGCAAGAGGAGACGTGGTCAGGCTGGCCCTGACCTCAGGGACAGGGATGGGGCCCAGGACAGTCCCTGCAGGACACACTCCTCTCCAGTCCACGGCGGCTGCTGCAGCCTCCAGGGTCTCACAACTCTTTCCTTCAGAAAACGCAGAAGGTGAGGATGAGCAGGAAGGAGCATCAGTGGTTGTCGGCAGATGCTCGGCTGAGGACCTCCCGAGGCAGCCGTGGTCCACCGTGGGGCCCCACGCTGAGTGCCCCTTGGATCCACGCCCTGGCCGACATGGCAGACAAGAACTTCATCCCAGGAAGTCACGCAGGGCACAGTCTGCCAAGGGAACAGGCAGGCAGAGCCACACCTCGGGGACATGGTGCTCACACAGAACGGGGCCAGGCCTGTACCTGCTAAACGTCTGCTCTGGCCCCGCAGGGCTGGCCTGTTGGCCGAGGGACCTCTCCAGCGAGCGGCCCCTCCCCCTTAATTCACATCTTCAGTCAGCAGCCTTGAGTCCAACCTGGCTGGGCAGACTGCACGGAGCTCAGAGCCACCGCGTTTCTTCCAGTGACCAGGACCCCGACCTCAGGGCAAGTGTGTTCCCTGCTCTTCCTCCCGACTCCAGGAATGCAGCTCGGGGAGCCTCGGGCAGCCACGCCCCATCCAGGCCAGCCGGTGACGGCCAGAAAGCAGGGCTGCCAGCAGACCGAGGCGGGTGGGGTGGACGGACAATGCTGAGAGACGTGCGGAGTTTTAATAAAGTTATCTTCACAGAAAACAATTGGACGTTATCTGTTGCTAGACATCTATTGATTTGACCTCATAAAGCTAAATAAATTAAGCAAGCATTTTATAATTAATTGTACATCATTATGACTAAAAGTAATTTTTATGGCATTTCCCAAGGTCTTCGGGGAGTTTAATTTATTCATGTCCCTGATTAAATTCAAGTGCCAGAAGGCACTATTGATTCCGATTGCCAATAGCACAGACAGTGGGGTGAGGGGGGAGGGGCTTTGGACACGGACCTGGCCGCCACGAGTGTAAGCCTGTGTGCAGAGGGCAGTGGCCCGCTGAAGGCCTTGTCCACTACCCAGGGATGCCTGTCCGTGTCGTCTGGCCACTTTCCTATAGGGCTCAGTGCTTGGGACTGGTGGTGCCAGGGACACGGCCACACGACCAGGCAGGTGCCCTCAGTCCCTGCTCCTAAACACTGGCTAAACATGGCAGTGGCTGTTCCCAACTACAGTCCTCAGGATCACACCATGTGCTGACATCCTGTGTGTCCCTCAACACCTACAATGTCACACACCCGTTCTCCTCACCACGCCCGCACCTACACATGCCAAGATGTCTCCCCTCACCCTTATACACTTATATGCCACACGATGTTCCTACTCACAGCACACACACCTACACACCACAGCACGTTCCCCCTCACCCCACACACCCACACACACCACAGCACGTTCCTTCCCCCTCACCCCACACACCCACACACACCACAGCACGTTTCCCCTCACCCCACATACCACAGCACATTCCCCCTCACCCCACACACCTACACACACCAAGCATGTTCCCCTCACCACACACAACTACACACACCACTGCACGTTTCCCCTCACCCCACACAACTATACACACCACAGATGTTCCCCTCACCCCACACACCTACACACACACACCATAGCACATTCCCCTCACCCCACACCTACACACAACACAGCACGTTTCCTTTCACTCCACACACCGATACACCACAGCACATTCCCCCTCCCCCATAAACCTAACACACCACACCACAATCCCCACACCCCTACACACACCACGTTCCCCCTCACCCCACACACCCACACACACCACAGCATGTTTCCTGTCAACCCCACGTGCCGCAGGATGTTCCCCCTCACCCCACATGCCCACACATAACATTGCCCCTTACCCGCCCCCACCTACACATGCCAAAGGACATTTCCCCTCACTCCCACATACCAACACATGCTGCAGGATGTCCTCCCAACACCCCCACACGACATCCCCCCACCACATACACTCATTCGCCCTCACTGCGGCTACACCACGTATCCCATTATCTACTCTCTCCCCCACACCACCCCAGCCCTCCTCACCCCGGTACCACCCACCTACACATACCACAACGTCACCCGCACACACACCACGTGACGCACAATGGGGCCAGAACGATAGCACAGCAGGGGAGGGCGTCTGCCTCGCACGCGGCCAACCTTGGTTTGGACCCCGGCGCACCACGTGGTCCCCCAACGCACGGAACGCATACCGCACGACGTTCTCCCCTCTGCACACACCACCCCGGGTTCCGAGCACCCACCTCTTCCTCCAGCCAGTCGTTGTACTGCACGATGGTGGCCATGGCCACGTCCGCTCCTTTCACGTAGAAGGTGATCTCTGCGGTGGCCTCATCCTACAACGGCAAGAGGGAGCACCGGGGATGTGGCGCGGGCCCCCGGCAGCTCCCGGGCGGGGCAGGACCCAGCCCCCTGGCCCTCCCCGAGCGAGCGAGGCGGGTGAGCAGGGGCCTGGCGGCGGCTGGTCCCTCGCAGGCGCAGCGGACGGAGGCGCTGACGGAGGGCGCGGCTCCCCAGCGGCTCTGCGAACCGGTCCAGACGAGGCCCCCGCCCTGGCCTGCTACTGCTGCTGAACCCGAACCGCGCCAGCTCAGCTCGCCCCTCGCCCCCGCGGGTGGGACACGCTTGCCCGCACGCACCCTGACAATGATGCCCATCCTCTTGCTCTCGGACGTGAAGGGGAACACCTGGAGCACGGAGAAGGTCAGTGTCTGGCCGCCGGGTGTCCGCAGCTGCATGGAGCTCAGGTCTCTGCTGACCAGGGTGAGGCCCACGCTCTGTGTCCACTGAACCAGGGCCACCTGAGAGAGGCCAGCAAGATGAGAGCAACTGTGAACTCAGAGCCGGTCTGGGGGCACCGACGGGACGGGGCTGCTGTGGGACTGACCAGGGGCACGGTCTGGGCGTCTGTGTGTGCGGAGGGCACCAGGACACCAGGCAGACCTGCTGCCCTGTGGACGGCAGATCCGGTCCCCACACGGGCATGGGGGTGGGGTGGGAGTGCATGACAGCTGAGGGCGGGCACACAGAGGGTCTCCGCCCCCTCTCCGAGGGGGGCACCGTGCAGGGAATGGCGACCGTACGGGGTGTGTGGGGACCATGCGGGGTGTGTGGGATGGTGTGGAATGTATGGGACTGTGTAGGGTCTGGGGTCCGTGTGAGGTGCCTTGTGGGGTGTGTGGCCGTGGTTAGACCCTTCCTCGGCCACTCCCATCCCCTTGGCAGCGCTTACGTCACTTTTAAACGAGTGATTTGGGGGACACAGGCGAGCAGTCAGGACGGGGCCCACAGGTGTCCAGCTCCCCGTAGTCCCCGACCGTGACGGGATGGCCCGAGACCGCCACCCCCAACTGCTGAAATGCCGGCCCAAACAGTGAGAGTCAGCGTGGGCACCAGCCCCCAAGGAGAACCGAGGAGTGACTCGGGGTTTGAGACGGGCAGGGTGGTGAGGGCAGAGGCCGGCTGGAGCCTGCGCACGGCACGGGTGTGCGTGCAGCGGGAGGCAGGCACGGCCACTGGTCCCCGCGGCCTGAATGGGGGGGAGAGAGAAGCGCAGGCAGCTCCAGGCCAAGAGACGGGCCCTCGCCAGCCTCCAGAGGGGACCCGAGCATAGTAGTCAGCCGAGAAATGAGGTAGGCGGGGTCTGAGGTGCAGCCCTCTAAGTTCAAGAACTGAAGCAGGTGTGTGGAATGCGACCGTGACTGGGAGTCCAGTCTGTACACACCAGGACATGCCCCCACGTGTGTGTGCGCATGCGCACACACCCACACACCCACCCACCCTCACTGCAGGGTAGACCCAGACACCCCCCTCCCCCCCACTGCAGGGTAGACCCAGTGACATACACACACACATAACCTCACTGCAGGGTAGACCTAGTGAGACACACACACCTACCTACACACACACACACACACACACACACCATCACTGCAGGGCAGACCCAGTGACACACACACCCACACACCCACACACACCCTCACTGCAGGGTAGACCCAGTGAGAGACACACACACACACACACACACACACACACACACACACCCTCACTGCAGGGTAGACCCAGTGAGACACACACACACCCACACCCACACCCATACACCCACCCTCACTGCAGGGTAGACCCAGTGACACACACACACACACACACAAACCCACCCACCCACCCTCACTGCAGGGTAGACCCAGACACACACACACCCCCCCTCACTGCAGGGTAGACCCAGTGACACACACACACACACCCTCACTGCAGGGTTGACCCAGTGACATACACACACACACATAATCTCACTGCAGGGTAGACCTAGTAAGACACACACACATACACACACACATACACACACACCATCACTGCAGGGCAGACCCAGTGACACACACACACACACACACACACACACACACACCCTCACTGCAGGGTAGACCCAGTGAGACACACACACACACACACACCCTCACTGCAGGGTAGACCCAGTGAGACACACACACACACACAAACACACACCCTCACTGCAGGGTAGACCCAGTGACACACACACACACACACACACACACACCCTCACTGCAGGGTAGACCCAGTGAGACACACACACACACACACAAACACACACCCTCACTGCAGGGTAGACCCAGTGACACACACACACACACACACACACACCATCACTGCAGGGCAGACCCAGTGACACAGACACACACACACACAGACCCTCACTGCAGGGTAGACCCAGTGACACACACACACACACACACACACACACACACACCCTCACTGCAGGGTAGACCCAGTGAGACACACACACACACAAACACACACCCTCACTGCAGGGTAGACCCAGTGACACACACACACACACACACAAACACACACCCTCACTGCAGGGTAGACCCAGTGACACACACACACACACACACACACACACCCTCACTGCAGGGTAGACCCAGTGAAGAAGCAGCAGAGTCACCAAAACAAATGGGTGAAGACAAAAGCCTGGACAGCTACAGCTTCTCCCACAGCGCTTCAAGCATAGGGAAGGGTGTTCAATGAACTGCAGGGTGGAAGAACGAAGGCCAGAAAAGGCAAGTCTGGGCGAGGGTGCTGAGAAAGTTGCAAGGGAGGCCAGTGAGCTGAAGGGTCTGTTCACGGGAAACCGAAACTCAGTGGAGCCAGCAGTGAGCCCAGCCACGGAACAGGTCAGTGTGCTGGGTGAGACAAGAGGAGGGCGAGAGAATGAAATGGACACATCTGCGGGTCCCGGGCAGACGGAGGGGCCAGGCTGGAATCAGGATGGACTCCGGGGTACAGTCAAGAGAACTAGCTGAGAACACTCCCAGTCTGAGGACTGAGTCACACCCATGGACCCCAGCGGCTCAGAGAAAGCCAGACGATCTGTAGGACACACTGCGATTTAAGGGACAAAAGCCAAGTATGGACAGAGAATACTGAGAGCAGCAGGACTGAAGAAATCTACACACAGGGTGGGGATTTAATTTTTTAAAAAGAAATTTACATCTAAAGGAATCCCCATGAGCAGACTCAGGGTGAAACGCTGCAGCCAGAGACAGGTTTGACACTGCAGCCACCGGACAGAATTCCACCGGACAGGACGACGGTCCAGCTAGACCACCACTCTGCTTCAAAGGAGTGACTTGAGTGTTCATGGCCAAGGATGGAAACAGCGAGGAGTGGGTAGTCACTAGGTAGTCACTAATGCAGCTTTACGAGAAGCACCGGCAGTCTCCTCGCAAGGCAGAGAAACCCTCTAAACCATGGACTGCAGGGAAACTCCCTGGAGTCTCTGGAAGGCGACTATGGGCAGACGGCAGCTCAGTGCAGGGGAGAGAAAAGGCGGCCAAGAAGCAGAGACGGATTCCCAAAGTCTCCTACTCCAGACAGAATGGAGGCACGGCCTTCCGCTCAGCAGCCTTGCTTCAGTGCCTCGACTCTCCAACCAGAAGTGGCCAAGCAACTGGACCCAGACTTCTGCCTACAAGACACCTCTGAACAGTCTGACACAGCATCCAGTCAGAGGCTGGAAAAACAACCCGACAGGCAAGTGACCGCCTGTAGAAAGAGACGAGAATAGGGCCCGAGTGAAAGTACTGCAGATAGGGCACACCTGCCTGGCACACGCCGACCCGGGTTTGGTCCCTGGAACTTCAAGTGGTTCCCTAAGTCCGCCAGGAATAATTCCTGAGTGCTGAGCCAGAGCACGCTGCCAGGTGTAACTCAAAAATGAGTGGAGAGAGAGGAGAGAGGAGAGGGAGAAAGGAGACAGGAGAGGAGAGTAGAGAGAGAGAGGAGAGAGGAGGAGAGAGGAGGGAGAGCAGAGACAGAAAGACACGCACACAGAGAAAGACGAAGAGACAGATGGACAGAGACTGATGCCTGGATAGAGCTCAGCTGGGAGATGTTAGACTGAGGGGAAGACCAGGACAGCTGTATTTGTACCTGACAACACAGACTCCAATTGACAAAGGTTATAAGGGACTGTGTGGACACCGCATAGTGATCAATGCACGATGGAAGAACCATCAAAATATGGAAGGCTACTGCTAATAGACCCAGGGAACGGTATCGACAGCAATAGAACAGCAAGGCAGAAATCAATAGGAAACATCGGTCTTCAAGGAGGACATGACAGAGATGGGCTTAGAAGGTGTGGGCAGGGCCACCCACCCCCAAAGCCGAGCACGCGTCCTTCTGCAGTGTACACAGGACATTCTCCAAGACAGACCACACGCTGATCCAATAAACCCTGAGCCCAGGAGGGGAGCAAGTTTTAAAGCCCTTCTCAGACGGGCTTTAAAACTGGGGCTACTCACAGACCATGAGGGACAAACGCCAACACTTGAATAACCAGGGGGTAGGACGAGAAATGAGAGGACTCAGAATATTCCTGGAAGCAAACGAGATCAACGATGTTTCCAGAATACACCGGACACAGCAAAAGCTTCCCGAAGAGGGACGGACACAGCGATGCACGTAGAGGGACGGACACAGCGATGCGCGTGTTCATTAGGAAACAAGGAAATGCCCAAGTAACGAGCCTGGAGACACCTCAAGTTCTAGAAAATAAATGAAGTACGCAGGAGGAGGGAAATAAAATTCAGAGTGGAAATCAATGAAACAGAAACCAAAACAAAAGATCAACAACACCAAGAGCTGGTTTCCAAAAGAGGAAACGAGGCAGACAAAGCCAGCCAAGAAGCCAGACTTAACCAAAACAAAAACACAAACCATGAAGCACCAACACATCAGCCCAGAAATGAAAGGGGATGTGACACAGATCCTGCGAGAATGGAAAAGATCAGCCAAGATTACCATGAATAACTCTATGCCACCAAGTTGGAGAACACAGAAGAAACGGGTCATGGTGTGGAGATCTGTAAGCTCCCAAAAGTGAGCCAGGAGACAGCAGAGCAAGTGAACTGACCAGTCACAGTCATCAGGTCCCCCAGACCTCCAGGAAGACCTACTCCCATCCTTCCAAGGCTCTCCAGAAAGCCCAGGGTGGTTCTCAGGAGGCCAACGTCACCCAAATAACAACACACGGAGAGTACTAGAAACAAAAACTGCAGAACACCACCCGATCAGCTCAGATGCATAGGTCCTCAACACCTTAGGCACACGAATGTCAGAGTACATTAAAATATCATACTTAATGATCAAACGGCACTTATGACTGGGAGACAGGGCAGGTTCATTTACACAAGCCAGTCAATGTGATACATGACATCAATAGAGAGAAATAATCATCAAGGGATCATCAAGAATCATCATGACAAAAGGGAACTTTCATCATGTCAATAGATGCAGAGAAAGTGTTTGAGAGAAATCATGTCAAGGTTCGACAGGCTTTGCAACAAAGCGCCGCAACAGAACAGGGACGGAAGGCACTTGCCTCCCTACAGCAAAGGCCACATGTGAGACTCACTGACAGAGACGGAAGGCCAGCCCGAGACACGCACAGAGAGAACTTCTATTCAGCACAACAGAATGATACTAAAGGGGTTCAGACTGAGAAGCCACGTCCCTTCTGTTTGCAGGTGATTGAGTATCACACCCAGATCATCCTAAAGATGTCATCAAAAAATTCCCAGAAACAATAATGCTACAAAATCTACTTCATTTCTGTGTGTAAGCAGAGACTGGAGAGCGTGGGGAAAAAGCCCAGCTGCAACTGTGCTGATGCCCAACCTGGGAACTTAACGCAGAAGATGAAAGACCGTCATAAGGAAACGGAAGGGGGGGGCGCTGGAGAGATAGCACAGCAGGCAGAGCGTTTGCCTTGCACACGGCCGACCCAGGTTTGATTCCCAGCATCCCATATGGTCCTCTGGGCACCGCCAGGAGTAACTTCTGAGTGCAGAGCCAGGAGTAACCCCTGTGCATCGCCAGGTGTGACCCAAAAAGAAAAAAAAAAAGGAAGGGGATGGGACACGTATCCCATTCACGGGTGGGAGGAATGAGGATGGCTCAGAAATCACGGCTAAGGGGTCAGCAGGCTCCGTGCAGACTCCTGCCCTCTGCAGCGTAGCCGCCTCTCCCCCAGGACCCCAGCAGGGTGGCCGAGGCTGGGCCACTCAGCTTCCTGGGACAGCAGCGCTGTGGCCTCTGTTCTCACGCCCGGCCCGTGTGCCTTCCACTGGGGATGCGATCTCCCCTCCCCACACTGCGGACCCAGCCCTGCCGAGCAGCAGCTGACTGATGGTGCCCAGGGCACGTGTTCGTGTGGGGGAGTGCAGGACAAAGGCCCCACTCTGGAGCAGCATGGGCAGGAGGCACTCGGGAGGGGGCCAGCCGCAGACCTGGCAGAGCCAACAGAGCACCTGGTCACAGGCTCCAGTCACGGGAGTCTGGGCGCGCGCAGCTGACCGAGCCGCGGGAGGGGCCCGGGAGGGGCCTGGAGCCCGCAGCTGAATGCTGGGGGAGGTGAGGGGCCGCTAAGCACACGGCCAGCCCGGGCTCCCGCGCCTTCGAGCGCTGGGGTGAGTCACAGCAGGGTTGGAATTAGGCCTGTTCCCGGGTCCCGGGTTACTAAGATACCGCCGATCCGCGCTGCTCCCATCATGTACAGATGACACAGTCCTATAATTTAGAGCAGCAGCGATACGCTGGAAATTATAGAACTAAAAAAAGGCATGTGGACGTCACCGGGAGAACAGCCCGTGGGCCAGCGAACAGCGGCGACACCGGCTCAGTGCAAGTGGGCTCAGTGCAAGTGCGGCGTGGAGCCCGGCCCACCTCTCCCTTGGAGATTTCCCACAGGCTCGAAAGCTCCGCCCACGCGCAAGGAACGTGCTTCCCATGACGAAGGGCGTCGGCCAGGTGTGGCTGGTGAGCGGCACGTCCCTGGACTTCCCCGGCAGGGCACCCGCCTCGGGGCTGCTCATCACTGAGCCTGTGCTTGGTTCTATGCCCCTCTGAGGGCGCAGCTGAGAACAGTCAGTCTGGCTCATCCCTGCCTGGCGTCCCCCACGCCCTGAGAACCAGGAGTGAGTGCGGTCCAGGGCGCGTGGGGGCGGCGGGGCTGAGTGTGGCGGGGTCCAGACAGGCAGCTCTGGCGGCCGCGGCTGCACGCAGGGACAAGCGCACCTGAACTTCCGACACTCGCACCGTTTTCTTCCCAGCGAGGCCTGAATGAGCCGCTCGAACACGTTTCAAGCAGAGTCCGTTGGGGAGGAGCCGTGGGGGGCAACGCCGCCCCCCACCCCTCCCTGTGCACAGACACTGCAGGCTGCCCCCCCCCCGGCGCATGGACACCTGCCACGCTGAGGCACCCGCCCAACTCCTCACTATCGGAACCTCAGCGCTGCCTACTGCGCAACTGGGCCACCTTCCCCACCAGCAGGAGCCGGTCAGCCCGATGGAGGTGCTCTGGGGGCAGCAGGGTTCAGAGCCGCCCTCACGGGAGGCCCCGGCCGGCGGCGGCCACGGGCTCAAAACATTCCTGTCCAGCCCCGGACATGAACCCAGGGCCATCAGAGCTGGCAGACAGGACTGAGCCACAGGGCAGACGCGCAGCACAGGCCCTGGGGGTGGCCACAGCAGGGCAGGCACAGCCGGCTCCCTGGGGACGTGTGGCCTCGTGGGGCACAGTGTGGCGAGTGGGCTCGGAGGGACCCACTCCCTGCTCCCCCTGGGCTCCACCTGCTGCCCCCACGTGCACCCTCACTTGTCAAATCCTGTGTCTGCTGCCCCCTCCCTGCCTGGCAAGGAGAGAGGGGGAGGGTCATCTCCCCCCAGGGCCAGGTGCTGGGGTTCGGGGGAGGCCCATGACAGCGAGACGGTGCACGCACACCTGATGGCCGCCAGGTGGGAGGCACTCGCCTGCACGGCGACTCTGGCAGATGGCGCCAATCCCTCCACAGCGAGCGCCCTTGGACACACAGGCGCCAGGCACAGATCTGAACTGGAAGGAGCGGCACCAGGTGGCAGGCCCGGGCGCCCACCCTGCCTCAGGGGCTCTGTCGGGGTGGGCCCTGGGGCAGCGGCGGGACAGTTGAGGCCCTGCCAGCTCTGCAGGGCAAGGCGCGGGCCACTGACCTCGTCGGGGCTGGAGGCCTGGTAGGTGCGGTTCTCATCGCTGAAGTCCTGGTCCGCCTCGGTGAACTCTGTCTCCCCAGCGACCCTGGCTTGAGCCTCGTAGACGGGGGTGACGTTGTGGCACAGGGCGATGGCCTTCACCGCCTCGTGCACGCGGCTGCTGACGCTCTTCCTCATCTTGGGGGCCGCAGGCTGGGCTCGTCGCGGGGGCGTGGTGCAGCTGCTCGCAGAGGCCTGGGGCTGCGCCTGTGGGGACAGAGCCACTGGGCACCTCTGGCCTGCAGGCTACAGCCGGAGCCGGTGCCTACAGACGGGGCAGCTGGCCACTCGCCTCTGCTGCCCACAGTGAAGGACGCGGGAATGCCCGCACACCAGCCCCTCTGGCCGATCTGAGAAATCCCGCAGCAGCGCACCCGGCTGGGAGCAGATGCTGGGATCTTCGCCTGACCCCACACATTAGTCTGGTGAACGCTGGTCCCGGCTGCCTGCTCGGGATGGAGGCTGGGCCTCATCCCAGGGTGCATGCAAGGTCATGCAGGCCACCGCCCAGACCGTTCGCTGAGGTGGGGCAGAGATAGGTGGGCCCCCAACCATCTCTGCAGCCCCCAGCGAGGAGCAGAAGGTCTCTCCTCAGAAAGCAGCACCGGGCTTGGGGCTAGCTTGCCACCTACGGGATCTCGTGTAATGAGGGTGCTGCCCCATACACCTGGCCGGGCCCCTCTGCAGGAGGGAGCCTGGCCACTCCTGCAGGCCCTGGGATGCCCTCCCTGAAGGAAGGACACTGGGCACGTGTCCCCATGAGATGGCTCACCTGCTCAGCTTTAGTATCTGTCTGGTAAAAGACAGTGCTTAGAGCTGCTGGAATTGTGTCTGTTGTGCAGAAAGCAGCCTGGCCCGGCACTCACCTGTGGGTAAGCATGCGCCACATGGCTCTGGATCTCGTCCATGGTGTCCGGCCCATAGGACACGGTGCCCAGATGCAGTCGCTTGAACACCATTACATTCTGGGTGAGTGTACCTGTGGCAGACGGACAAAGTCTGTCACATGGCAGGTACCGTGCTCTGCAGACACACACACACACACACGCATGCACGCACGCACACGCATGCACACACACGCACACTTATGTGCACACACACATGCAGGTGCCCCATAGCCAAGCTCCTCAGGTTCTCGTTTGGCAGGACAAGTTCCTCTGCAGGGACTCTGAGTGCCAAGAAGGTTCTAGTTCCTGGGTGGCCTTCCCTGGTGGAGCTTTACCACCTGGATTCAGGTGACATGGGGCCCGCGGGGAGGGCTGCGGGCATTTTGGTGGCGCTGAGGGTGCAGACAGCCCATCAATACCAACAGCTTGGCAGTAATGTATCAACTGAATCCAAATGTAACAGACTGAAGGAAATAGGCTACTTCACCTAACTAGAGAAATTCCTCTGACTGTTTCTCTCCAGATACTAGAAGGACCGACAGCAGGGGAGACGTACAAGCGGCCCACCTGGAGGGCAACAGAAACCAGCAGGTCGCCACCCGGATTTCTGCTCAGAGCAGATGGTTCGAGTGACACTGCCGGTGCCCAGGAAGACCCAGGCAAGCCCCTCACGTGGACCCTGGCTCAGAGGCACGAAGTGTCTCGACGAGACGCCTCCTGCTGTGGCCACTCACGTGACACCGTGAGGGCTGGGCTGAGGAGGCTGGAGGGTGCTGGCCCCACGGCCACCCACTGTTGGAGGGTCTCAGCATACAACACACTTCAGAAATGGGATGAGGGGCCAGAGCGATAGCACAGGGCACAAGGGCTTGCCTTGCACGCAGCCAGCCCGTCCCTGGCATCCCTTATGGTTCCCTGAGCACCGCCAGGAGCGATTCCTAAGTGCAGAGCCAGGACGCACCCAGGGTGTCTGTGCAACAGTCAAGGGAAAAAAAAAAAAGAAAAAGAAATGGGACGGGGGTCCCCACCCAAGACCCTGCTCCCGAGACCCCCTTCCAGCCCAGAATCTGATGCCCCCAGAGTCGCCCCGAGGCCCCCTGCCCCCTTCCTGCATGGTGCCCGATAACCTATCCCATCAGACTCCACCCGAGACATGCCTGGGTGGCCAGTGTGCACCAGTGACCAAGGGGGGTCGGCCCACGTCCTCGTCCCCACTGGCCAAGTGACCCTGGCTGGCAGCTTGGGCTGGAGCTGGAGGCCTGAGGCAGGGACCAGAGGCTCGGCTCCTGGAGCGGGATGAGAGTGCTCCCCGCGTGGGATGAGGGTGCTCCCCGCACAGGACACTGCCTAGTCGGGGTGCTAGCGCTGGGAGGGGAGATTTGGGGGCCGTGGACAGCTCCTGGGGAGTTACGGTCAAGGATTCTCTTCTGTGGGGGGCCCGTAGGAACGAGTGTACGGGCCCCCCAGGAAGAAGGGGCAAGCGGTTGGAGACCTACAGAGCCCCAAGACTGGCACCTACTGCCACATGAGCCACTGCTCAGGGAGGCTACCTCAGGTGGCCGGAAAGACGGACCAGGGCCTGTTCACCCTAGGCCAGGCCGCTTCTGCCCACCATGCCACTGGCAGGCCTCTGGCTCTCCGAGCTTCGCACAGCATTTCCGACAGAAACCCGCCATCCCCCTCACCCCATCTCTTCCTCAGCTTCTGCTGTGTCCTCACCCCCTAGTCTCCTTCCTGTGGTTCCTGTCTCACTGGTCAGCCCCGGGGAGGACACAGTTTGAGCACCAACAGACAGTGGACACTGGAAGGCGTCCGTGCTGTGTGAGGTTTTCTCAGATGAGCCCTGCCTGGTGCATGAGCGCCCCTATGACGCCCTCCAGGGGCCTGCATAGGAACAAGGACTGTCCATGTTTGGGTGCCCACCTGTAGCCGCTCCACTGCACAGGGCCCCGTCCCATTCTGCAGGGGGGCCTCCCTGCCAGACCAGCAGCAGAGGGCGCTGCTGAGAGCCCCAGAGGGCAGCTGTCCCCGGAAGCGGGTCTGGGGAAGCTCACCGAGAGGGCGACTCCCAGAGACCTGCTGTGTGAGCGTGTGCTTCAGTCACGGCTCGCTCGACACCACGATGAAAATGCTCGAACAAAGGATTTAGTGTATCGCTTTGAACAGGCCGCACCCTGAGTTAAGTTTTACAATTTACGAGTTCTCCGCGGCGTCGCTCTTGACGCTATGGCTCTGTCAGATGCCACCACCGAGGGGCCGGAGCCGTCCCTCTGACTGAGGCCAAACGGCTCGTCCAGCGGTTCCACGTCAGCTGCTCGTTTATCACGCCAGGCCGAGTGCTGTGGTCAGCGCCGCTGTACACTGCGTCTTGGCGGCTAACAGATGTCTCCTCTTGTCGAACGAACTGCTTTATGTTTCACGCACTGGTGGCCGCAGATGTGTCACTATAGCAACATCATTAATTTCAGATCTCACCGGAAACGTGCCCTCCAATCAGCCCTGATTACGCCGCTCCGCTTTCCTGTCCGCGAGGAGGCGGCTCTAGGCAATTACGGGCCGCCCGCACTTCCTCCTCGGCTGTGGCAGCACTGTGATGGCACTTTCTGTCAAGCGGCTTTGTGACGAGCTGAGCCCAGTGACTGAGTGGGCCAGGCCAGCGTCCACGTCACGGCAGCACGGCGCTGCTCCCGGGTCACCTCAGCAGACCCGGCCCCTCCAAGCGGGGCCCCCACAGCGAGTCTGCAGCCGTCCACAGCCAGGCCCTCCGCGGGATGGGGCCAATGGCCACCTGGTGACTGCTGAGGCCTGCCACCCCCTGGGCTGACACCACCGTCATCCAAGCAAAGCCAGATGGCAAAGACGGGAACAGGGCTGCAATGCTGACCAGTGAAGGCGGGGCTGCGGGTGGTTACCCATGCCACCACCATTCCCGGGTGCGGCTCTGCCTGAGCTGAGGACCGAAGCCACCCAACCTCCCTCCAACCAGGGTTCACGGAACCCCTAGCGGGCCCGCGGCCGAAGGCAGTGCGACAGTGATATGCCATTCCCACCCCTGCCTCTGGGCGGGGGAGCCTGGCAGCAGGAACGCCTGTTTCAACAACCTGTCCTTCAGAGGGCGCCTGGTGCCCAGGAGAGCTTTCCCCTGGGCTGTTCCAACCTGGACGGGTGGAACGAGCCGGGGGACTTGGCAGGCGGCATCCCCTGTGGTCACTGAGGAAGGTCTACAAGAATCGACACCAAAACTAGGTGCACAATTAACTGCAAACAGCACGAGAAGGGACCAAAGGTGGGACCCCCTCCAGTGACAGGGCTTTCTGCTCCTGATGCTTTGTTTCAGGGTCACCCCTGGCTGTGCTCGGGAGCTTGTCCAGGCTCTGTGCTGGGCACCACATGGTGCAGGGCATAGATCCACACCTCCTCACATGCCCTCATCAACATACTCTCTTGGGGCGCAAAAATGGCTTTTAGGTTTGGTTTTGTGGTTTAACGTATACAAAGCAATGGACATCATAGGGTACACTGGCAAAAGAGAAAATAATATATCAGTAAACACTGAAAAGAATCTGTGACAAGATTCAATACCTATTTACGATAAATATCCTGAGTTGGGCTGGAGCGATAGCACAGTGGGTAGGGCATTTGCCTTGCACGTGGCTGACCCGGCCAACCCAGGTTTGATCCCTCCGCCCCTCTCGGAGAGCCCGGCAAGCTATCGAGAGTATCTCACCTACATGGCAAAGCCTGGCAAGCTCCCCGTGATGTACTGGATATGCCAAACACAGTAAGAACAAGTCTCACGATGGAGATGTTACTGGGCCCGCTCGAGCAAATCGATGAACAACAGGAGGACAGTGCTACAGTGCTACCCTGAGTTATCTAGGCTATATCAAGTCCTCACAAAATCAAGTAAAAATTTTTCAAAAACCCTATCAAAAAATGGAGAGGAAATGAAGAGAGACTTCTGAGAGGACAGCAGGAGGATGGCCAGTAGGCACTTGAAAAAGTGCTCAGCACCACTTGTTATTTAGGAAAGCCAAATCAAGACAATGAGGCTTCATCTCACGCCAGCGACAATGGCACATATCAAAACTAGTAGGAACAATCTGTGTGAAAAAGGACTCTCGTTGTAGACTCTAGACCGAACATGACTGCCACTCAATGCCTCTACTGCAAACCACAGCACCCAAAAGGAGAGAGAGAACAAGGGGGAATGCCCTGCCACAGAGGCAGGGTGGGAGGGATCCTGGGATCAGTGGTGGTGGAGAATGGGCACTGGTGGAGGGATGGGTACTTGATCATTGTATAACGGAAACCCAAGCACAGAAATCTGTACATCTACAACTGTACCTCACGGTGTTTCACTAATAAAAATCTAAATTAAAAAAAAAGAAAAAGGACTCTCGTCCACTGCTGTTGTCTGGTTCAACCCCAGACGGGAGGGTTCTCGGTAAGCTTAGAACTGGTAAAACTGAACAGCACAGCAGCCACACTCACGGGCACCTATAAGGACCTAACAGCATTCTTTCAAATGGACATATGCACACTATTATTCATTGTTGCCCTTAGTAAGTTGGCCAAGGCATGGAATCAACCTACGGCTGTCGTACGGCGTCCAACGGCAGATGAATGGATTATGAAGCTGTGGCATATATACACAATGGAATACTGTGCAGCCGAAAGGAAAGGTGAAATCATGCAGTTTGCTGCAACTTGGCTGGGTCTGGAAGATGTCACACTGAGTGAAACCAGAAGAAGAAAGACAAACACAGGATGACCACACTTATCTGTGACATACAGAGGAAATGTAATGTTGTAAAGAGGATGCCCAGATGACCCCTGGCCCTAGAGCTAGGGAGAAGGACAGAGAAAGAAATCCAGGGGAGGGAGGAAGATGAGAAAGGGAAGCAATGGGGACAGGTCGGACAGCGACATACAGCCAAAGCACAGACTCAGCAACACGGGAAACAGGAGATTCAAGCTGCAACCAGCGGACTCTGTAATGTGCCCGTCAAAGTGGCCGGCGGGGGCTGGGGTGCGGGATGGAGTGTGGGAAAAGGGTGGAGCGAAGCGGATGCTCGTGGTGGGTCTGATATGCTGAAATGCCAAAACTTCAACCATCAATAACTTTGACAGTAACGGTTCTTTAAACCCTGAGTTAACTGGGAACGGAAGGAAGACCCATAACCAAGATACAGCTAAGCTCACATGGAAGGAGAGAAGCCCAGGCTTCCCCTGCAGTCTGAAACACCGCCTCCAGGCGCACCCTGATGCTCCCAGTGCTGGTCTGCAGTCTTACCCAGAGCAGTGAGGCGAGAGAGATCTGGACCGGAACAAGCAGCAGAACTACTGCTAATGCAGAACTCTACCCAAATGGAACATGATGAACGGACACAACACAGAGGCAGGACACTGAGCCTTCCTTTCCCTGGCATGTCTGTTGCCTGTGTTAATGCGATCAATAACTGGGCCTGCTCAAGCAAATCGAGAATAGATCACAGGAAAGAGAAATTAAGAAAACAATTCTATTTATGATTTCATCAGAAAAGATAAAATACCCTTAAAAAGAAGTTAAAGACTGAAGACTAAATTCCTGCTGAAGTAGACAGAAGGGCTTGAAGAGCAGATACCGATACGGATGACACCCCCCTATCACCGACGGCAACTCATAAATGAACCTGATCCCTGTTAAAACACAACGTTGTATATGGAACCACCAAGGGCCCTCAATGGCTAAAACAACCCCAAAAGAAAAGAACGGATGGAAGCTTCAAACTCTCTGGCTTCAAAGTGGTACAAAGCTCAAAGAGTGGCACGAAGTTGGCCACGCTGACCGTGGAAACAAGCCCACAACTCGACGACAGAGCCAGGGCACTCCGGGCACAGGGAGGCTGTACCCCGCCACTTTATCTGTTCAGTTACTAGCTCTGTCATCTTTGGGAGGGTCTTTAGGCTTTTCGCCATTTGCAATTAGCAATAGTTTCACTTCTTATTTTCCAATCTGGATTTCTTCCACCAGTGGTGCTGGGAAAACTGCACAACCACACGCAGAATCATGAAGCACAATCGCTGATCACCGCCCTTCACAAATGCCGAGTCCGAGTGTCTAAATCTCTAGATTACGGATCCGGGTCTCACATGGAGGGAGAGAGGACTCAGCCTGGAGCTCACAACTGGAGCCACGCCTGGAGACTCAACCCCACCAGCAATGCCGACCAAAGACGACGGGACTTGGGCAAGTCCAGGCTGCTGAACCAAGAGAGACCACACAGGAAAGGGGACAGACAGTCTTTCACCCCAGGACCAACAGCTGGTCACTGTATCACCCTCTCAGATACCCCTGGATTTGCCCAGGCAATAATTCCTTGTGGTCACTTTACATCGCCATAATCCTTCTGCCTATCTGCACTTTACTCTTCCTGGGGGGTGGGGGTGGTCAATGCTGGGGCAACAGAATGTGTTTCTTTTTTCTGAAAAGTCTGTCCACGTTACAAAGAGAATGCCTCGAAAGAAAGGCAGAAGGGGAATGAACCCAGCAAACACCTACCTGCCGGACCATCTCCCCGGCCCCTACATGGTTCACATGTAGTCTCTGTTTCTGGCTGACAGTACTAAAAGCCGCAATGAGGCTTCTGGGAGCACAACGCCCTCCCTACTGTCAGAGTCCAGGCGATTCTGATTTTCACCCCCAGCTGTGGTGTCTAAGAGCAGAGTCTTGATTTCCAGTAACAGTCTTAGAAACTTCTCTGTTACTATCTATTCGGGTTGGGAATGCCCTTTTTCGGGAAATTCACTGGGACTAGACTCCTAGCATAGGCACCATCTCTGCAGACTCGCCATGCAGCTGGGGAAAACACACTCTCCATGCAGAATGCTCTACATGGCCACGAAGCCACAATGTGGTTACCATCACCAGTGGTGCACCTCAGTGGCCGGGCACTTGACTTGCATGTGAGAGGCCCTGGCTCTGGTCCCTCGCAATGCGCCCCGGCCCCTCCCAAGTTAAAACCAAAATTTGGTAACTGTGCTGTTCAAAACTTCTGTAGGTAGACCAGCTGTCCTTGGACTCACAGCCCAGACTGTGACAGCTGTGAAGGGAATGAACTGCTGTCCTGGGACTCAGAGGCTGGTCTGTGTGCCGCTGGGACAGGAGGCAGAACAGCTACCCTACCCTAGGATTCCCGGGTCTGTCTAAATGCTGGAAGGAAAGCAGAACAGCTGCCCTTGGGCACAAGGTGGAAACATGTTAGTTGTGAAGAGAAGTGGGCCAGCCGTGCTTGTCTCACGGGTCAGTGAAAAGGAGGAGACCAGAATCCTTGAAGCCAGTCACACGGCTGTCTCTGTATCAATTGGGAAGGAAGGCAGAGCAGGTGGGGACAGATCCACACGCCCGTGTCAGCTGGGAAGGGTGGCTGACCAGGTATCCTTGGCCTCCACACTGGACTACGTGTTAGTGTGTGAAAGGGAGGCTAGTCTTTACTGCCAGCAGAAAGGCGTTTCCTTTCACACCGGTATTTCCATTACTCTCCTTCATGAGCTCTTGCTCAGAACTCCCATTCCCCTGCCCATAAACTGTCTCCTCTGAGTGGTCGGCTGTTCCCACACCCCAAGTCTCCCAACTGCAACCCTCAAGCTATTCCTCACGACCTTATTTGACTGGGACATTAACCGACAGCTTCTGATCCTTTAGTAACACTGTGGTTTGTTCTGGTGTTGGCTATTCTGGAACTTAATCTCCCATTAGCTCAGTGACACTGGGAAGCGCAACTGCGCCTTTCTTGGCCTCCTTCTCAGTCCCAGCTCCTTGTGCTGTTTCTGCGTCGCTCCGTGGACTTGGCTTGGCTCATCCACTTCTGCAGCCCCCACAGAGAAGCCCAACGGAAGCCCACAGAGCCCAAGGATGGCAATTAGGAGTGGCTCTAAGCTCAGGGAGGCCCACGGAAGCCGACAGGCGGAGGCCAGGAAACTCTTCCACGCAGGTCAGGTCTCTCTCCCTGCTTCCCAGGGGTGTCTGGTCATGCTCTTACCTGTCCGGCATACTCCTTATGTGCGTGCCTGCTTTCTCAGATAACTTAAGCACGGGTGACGGGGGTCTACATATAAGAGAGATACGATGACATTCAAATCTGTGAATCTACCAACTTCACTGACTTCTCAGTTCTGCAGCTGGTTTTCTAGGTTGATTTTATTTTTCTTTGAAGTTTTGAGTATTGTGTTCTTGTTTCTCGGAGCCGCACGATCACTCCTGGCAGTGCGGAGGGTGCGAATGGAGGATGGCCGCCTGCAAGACAAGGCGCCTCTTCGCACTCATCTCTCTGGACACGAGACGCATTTTCTTTACGATGGTATATATGCTTTGGCTTATAGTTCGCTAGAATTAGTAAGAATAATCAACTGAATGAAGGAACCAAGAAGACATGCTGGATTCCATAAACAGTACGGGTTCAGTTTTCCTTTGATTATGTTGTGGATTGACAAAAATCATTTAATTAAAAAGGGGGAAACATGAAATTTAAACATCAAATTCAGGGGCCGGAGCAATAGTACAGTGAGTACGGTGTTTGCCTTGCATGTGGCAGATCCAGATTCTACCCCAGCATCTCATATGGTCCCCTGAGCACTGCCGGGTCTGACTCAAAAAGTAAAAAAAAAAATCAAATTTAGGACTTAGGAACACAGGCTGGGAGAGCTGCAATAAGGGGCTTTAGGGAACGTTAGAGTCAAAACCAGACTCGCATATCTTGTTTTAAGCATCTTCTATCACAAATGGCTTTACTCTTCAAAACTGGCAATCAGGGAAGTTAAGCAAATTAAAAAAGAAAAGACAATAAGAAGGGGGCAGAAAGCCCAAAATACAGAGCTATATTACTTATATAAGAATATAATATTTCACTGCCTTCTAATGATACTAATTATGATTTTCAAGAGCAGAGTCTGGGAAACTATAAATACGAATTCTACAGTCTAACACACACATACACACATGCATATACACCAAGGACGTGGTTTAGTTTCTCTGTGTACGAGTGCACGCGCACACACACACACAGGTAGCTATTAGTTTCACATGTTAATCCACGTGGGAACACACAGATGTTAGTCTCATACCCATACACACGTATGGATATACCTGTGTACATCTATATGTTTCACACATGTACACATATATGGGTACTTAGATGCATTGGTCCAACACCCACTCACCGAATGTTCTTATTCTAAGACACACATGAATGTGCGTGGATGTAACTAAGCCTCTCACATGAACAAATGTGGGTACACCCCTCTCCCCCAGGTGTTTAGTCTCTCACGCTTGCACAAATGTTGTGAACACACACACACACACACAGGTAAGATCTCAGCCCACACTCCCATCACACGTGCTGGGCTCTTAGTCTCACAAATGCCCCAGATGCTGTTTGGCCCCGGCAGGGCATGGACGTGGCAGTACCTGTCTTGTCGGTCAGCAAATACACCAAACGCCCCAGCTCTTCCGGGATGGTACTGGTCCGGACAACTGTGCCAGGGATGTTCTGGTCTTTCATGATCATCCAGCCGTAGGCCGCCTTGCCCATGTCCAAGTTCACACGCAAGCTGCAGACACCCAGCGGAGTGATTGGTATGAGTCTGACCCATGTGGATGTTCTAGCTGAATCGACCCATTTTATCTTTCACCCTGCACCAAGCAGATCAGGGATGCCACACTTCAGGGCCAGCTAGTGGGTTCAAGCACGTCAAAGGCAGGCTCTCAGCCGGTGCCCGCCGCAGTGCCCTGCCCCTGCCTGTCTGCGGGCAGGTCCCTCTGCTACCTTGGCGCGAGCACTGCACGGTGCGGGGCTCTGCGCAGGGTGGGGCTAGAGGCAGGAGAGTGGGTGTGAGGACAGGGAAAGTCTCACTGGAACCATATTAGGCCTCAAGATTCCCACAATTCACAGCAGGCCCTCCCCTGTCCCGCGTCCCAGACACGGAACTCGGCCTGCCGACATGAGCGACGCCCCCAGGAGGGGCCTTGATGGGGTGGCAGAGATGGCCCAGGCAAGCCGCTGCAGAGGCCCAGCAGGTCTGCCATTCCAGCTGCCCGCTCCCCTCAGACCTGTGCTGGTCATTCACACAACCATGGCTGTGGTGTCTGCTGACTCGGGAACACCCTGACACGCGGATGCGGTTGTGAACTGAATGGACCCAGTGAGCTTGGGCAGGCCTGAAAGCAGGAGGGAGCTGCTGTCTGTGAGGACAGTGGGGTCCTCGGTCCCAGGAGGGCACATGGAGGCGATGCCAGGCAGTGCCAGGACGTCTGCGAGCGTGGACACAGGGCAGTGTAGACCGCGGCAGGCTGCCAGGGCTGAGGGGCTCTGCTGCGGGAGCCCTGAGGGAGCCGAGGAGCCAGGGCCTGGGAGTTCAGTCACACAGTAGGGACACTACACAGAGTCCCTGCCCCAGGCCTCATCCTCATGCCCAAGGCTGCCCCTCCCCCACACTCACTTCTGGGGGCCTTCATGTTGGCTAGACACCTGTCATCTAGGGGTCTCCCCTTAGCCCCTCCCAGTGTTACACTTGGACCTTGCAGTCCCCCCACCCAAGGACCAAGGGTCAGAGGGAGTCAGCCCAGCCACGCTGGCCTGCTGCCCAGACCTCAAGGTGGCACTTGGGCGTGCCAGCCACAAGCACCGTTTATCAAAGCTCAGCGACCTCCGTGCCCGGCGCCAGCCCCTGGGCTTCAGGGCTCTCTGATCCAGGCGCCCGAGTGGGCGCGCGTTTAGCAGGGGCCCTGCGTGTGGTACGAATCAGGGACCGGGGCCAGGGTGGACCTGCTAGTGTCCCAGCACTTGCTGCTCTTCTCTGCTGCTCATTCCAACCCTGAGACAGGAGAGCCCGTCTGGATTCAGGCCTCCTATGACCCCAGCATGTACTTCCTCACTCTCACGGAAAGCTCCAATCCGCTAAGGGTGTTCTCTAAAAATACCCCATGGACTCATGGCTGTGAGGGCAGTAATAGTCTTTAAAAATCAACTGACATTAACTTCTTAACCAACCTCAAGTTGGATGGATTATAATTTTGAATAAGTGATTCTTATTAAAGACAGCCTTATGAACGTCACAAATATACTAGATGCTATTTCACTTGGGGCTGGAGCGATAGCACAGCGGGTAGGGTGTTCGCCTTACAAGCGGCCACCATGGCCAACCCGAGTTCGATTCCTCCGCCCCTCTCGGAGAGCCCGGCAAGCTACCGAGAGTATTCGATATGCCAGACACAGTAACAACAAAGTCTCCAATGGAGACGTTACTGGGCCCGCTCGAGCAAATCGACGATCAACGGGAGGGCCTTTACCTTTACCTTTATCATTATTATTATTATTAGTTTTTGCATCACACCTGGAAATGCTCAGGGGCCAATCCTAGCTCTGCACTCATGAATTACTCTTGGCGGTGCTCAGGGGACCATATGTGACGCTGGGGTTCGAATCTGGGTCAGTTGTGTGCAAGGCAAACGCCCTACCGGCTCTATTATCACTCTGACTCTGATGCTACTTTAAATCAAGGAACTTCTAAATGCCAGTTATTACACAGAGCTCCAAGGAACTAGAAATGAAAACCATAATAAATAAAACTATTTGTTGTGTTCATGTTTTATCACGAAATCTCTCCCAACTGTTTGGACTATGGCAGCAGTCCCTCTGTGCATGGAAAGCAGGGCCTTCAAGGTGGTTCACATACAATTCGCCCCTCGCAGCGTCTTTTTCTACAGGGTGCCCCTTGTGTGCACGGGTTCCTCGCTCCTCCTCAAGTGTGTGAGAAAACAGATCCCAGTCAACCCGAGGCCTGCTGGGCCACGTCCACCTACCTTATGGGGATGATATAGGAGAAGAGCAGGAGGAACCGGAAGAGATTGCGGTACCAGGGCCCCACAAAGCCATGCAGGGTCACCATGACGCCCGACAGAGCCACGAGAGCCAGAAACAGTGCTTTGGTCAGGCGGTTGAGCTCGAGGTCCAGCAAACCCACCTGAGGGAAACACACAGAGTTAAGACCTGCTTGCCTCCAGAGACGCAGAGGCATGACCATGGAGCACGGCCCTTCTGAACCCGCTGAGCCAGCCTGAGTCACACATGTGGTTGTCACTGCTCTCCCCCTCAGAGCTTCTTAGGGCCCAGGCAGTTTCTGAAAACAATGCCTGATCCCTGGACCACTTGCCCCGAGCGTCTTTGGGACAGCAGCTGTGCCTTCCCCTGAGGCTGGGGACAGGCAGCTCGGCAGCCCCGGAGTGGTGAGTGGGAAGAAGCCCTCTCCATCCTCAGAGCCTACACCCTGCACTCTGGCCGGCTCGGTGGGATGAGGAGAGGAAGCATCAGTCCCTTTGCAGAACTTCGGGCTGAAGAGGGCCCAGATACGAGCGCACGATCTCCTGGACAGTGCGGGACACCTCCGAGGGTGGGCTCTGAGTTCCAGGTGACAAGGCTCCCATGGACAGGGCTGGGGCTGGGGTGAGCACCGCGTGCTCTGGGTGGCGGGGCCTGCGGGCGCACATCTATGCTCCCTCTCAACGGCTTCCTCAGCGAGCACCTGCGAGTGAGGCCTCTGCTCTGTGCCAGGCACCGCCAGTCACCTGACAATGGGCCCAGCACTGCAGGCACACACAGCCCCGGCCTGCTGCCATGGGGGCTCCTGAACCGAGGTGAATTCTGAGGGAAGCGACCACACAGAAACTACGGCGTCCAAAACGTGCAAGTGGAATTCTGTCAATCTGCAGCTTGAGAATCTCTGAGCTCATCGATGACTTTGCGACCTCGCTCTGGCCTTTCCCACCTTTGTACATGATTAGTCTGTATCTGGTTTTGATTAATATTTGACACAGTCTCATGAGAACGACAGAATTGCAGTTAGGAAGAAAACATGAGACTCTGCCAGAAATCCAATCATGTAGTTATGGAAACCCGTGAGTCAAATAAACTTAAAGGTCTATTCTGTTTTATCCTGAACACTAAGGTCCTCAGAAATTACTAAGCCTTGAGATTTTACTTACAAGAGTCTGTCTATAAGAAAAACTGGATGATGCTATACCATGAACATAAATATTTATTTTAATAAAAAACAAAAATAACTCTAAGTCAGATGTTCCTTCTTAATGTAGTGTGTTGGTTAATGCCTCCCCTATTTTTTGCGAGTGTGTGTGTTACTTTTGGGTTATGTTCAGGGGTCACTCCTGGCAATGCTCAGGGGACCCTATGGGATGCTGGGGACTGAGCCTGGGTTGGCCTTGTGCAAGGCAAATGCCCTCCCCGCTGTGCTAAGACTCTGCCCCCCCCCCCCCCCCCATGTTCTTACTGCTCTACTGTGTACGCTGTGTTCACGGTACTGTCCGTGGTGGTTTCGTGCACACGGCACGCCACACGACACCAACTGCCAGAGTGCCTGCTCCCCTCCTCCCACCCCCAATTCCCCGGCTCTGCAGCCACTGGCCGCCCGGTGTTCCTTTAGTACGCTTCTTTCCACCTCACATCTGAGAGAGGGCACTCTGCCTCTGCCTCTGCCTCCTGCTGACTGACTTCTCTCAGCATGAGATCCTCTAGTTCCTTCTGGGTGGGGAAGCAAACTGCATGATTTCATCTTTTCTTACTGCTCAGTAGTTTTCCACAACACCATGATTTTTTTTTAATCGTCTCATTTACTGGGCACTTGGGTTGTTTGGAGATCTTGGCTATTGTGTGAACACACAGGTGCAAATCTCTTTCCTGAACAGTGTGTCTGGGCCCTTTGGAAAGGTGCTGAGAAGTGGAACTGCTGGGTCACATGGAAGCTCAAATCTTAGGTTTTTTTTAAAAATTTTTATTAGTGAAACACCATGAGGTACAGTTAATAGACTTATAAATTTTTGTGCTTGGATTTTGACTATACAATGATCGAGTATCCGTCCCTCCACCAGTGCCCATTTTCCACCACCACGGGTCCCAGTATCCCTCCCACCCCCCATCCCACCCCTGCCTCTGTGGCAGGGCATTCCCTTTTGTTCTCTTTCTCCTTTTGGGTGTTGTGGTTTGCAAAAGAGGCATTGGGTGGCGATCATGTTTGGTCTAGAGTCTACTTTCAGCATGCTTAAAATCTTAGATTTTTGAGAAGGGTCATATTGTTTCCAAAAAAGATGCACCCGACGACATTCCCACCAGCGGTGAGTGTCCCTCTGCCCCCACATCCCCCCAGGACAAACAGAAGCAAGTAAAGCTGCTCGACCACGGGAGATCAGCAGGATACACAGACAGCCCACCGACCTGGAGAGAATACCTGCTCACCACTGCCTGACAGAGCCAACAACCGTGGCACGTCGAGCACTGACAGAGCTTAGCAAGGAAAAGGTAACCAACTCCATCCAAAAACATGGAGTGGGCACTTCCACCAAAAAGACGTACATCTGGCCAGGGGGCACGCGAGAAGAGGCGCTGCATCGCCGATCCTGGGGAAACGCACATCAGGACCAGGAGAGGTCGGGCAGGCGCACACGGCAAAGCACAGAAACGAGATTGTCCTTCGTTCACAGGAGCCTGGAGCCCACATGCAGGAAAGGGGCCGGCCCCAGAGGCCCGCCCGGCCCCGCCCACCACCAGCCCCTCCTCCGGACCCGCCCACACTCTAGGCCCCGCCCTCTCCCGACCCAGCCAACCCACCAGGCCCCGCCCCTCTCCTCCAGGCCCCGCCCCTCCTTGGCTTCTCTGGTCACTTCCAGGTCCCCAAGGAGAAAGCCTGACAACAACAGGTGCCCTGATGAGGAGGGGCCAGTCCCAGAGTCGGGCAGAGGCCAGTAAGTTCTGGAAGCTTCCAGCAGGGATGCAGGTTGGCCTTCTTCCCCTGAGAACCAGGCAGCTGAAGGCCCCGCCTGATTTATCAACCCCATTTAAAAAGCCGTGCAACGAGGACAAATATCTTGCAATTTCCGCTACTTCAACTACTCCATAGTTTATGCTTGAATTATTGAGAAAAATAGGTTTCTGGTTTAAAATGAAGAAAAATTAAGGCCGGGAAGCAGAGCATGTTTCAAAGCCCAGCTCCCGGGCTGCGACAAAGGCACTCGAAGTTTCAGGCCTCACTGAGGTCAGATGAAGCCATTATTCATTCAGTCAGGGAAAAAAGACTCAATTACCTCAACCTAAAGATGCTATCAATGAATGCAAAGTGCATATTTCACTCTATTCATCCAAATCCCATTAAAAAGTGAAAGGAATGATTTAATCTGGCCTTCCAGAGTTGGTCTTTTTTTGTAATAAAATAAAGAATCACTGTCTTACAAAATGCATAACCACTACCTCAAACTTCTCCTGCATCACAGAGACTGTAAGAGTTGGGGCAAAAACAGGCAGAAGTGAGTACACACTTGCCTTTGAAAAACCGCATACACAGATTAAAGGTGTGAAAAGCAGACAGTTCTGAGCCTCAGTGCTCTCGGAAGTGCAGACAGATGTGGCTGGCGCCTGGTGGTGAGCACACCTGGGAAAGTGGCCCTGGCCACCTCCACACAGGCTCCCTGCACCCATGAACGCACATAGGCTGTCCCCGTATCTGTACACACACACATATACACGGGCTGTCCCTGCACGCGCGCGCGCGCACACACACACACACACACACACACACACACACACACACACACACACACACAGAGTCCCTGAATCTGCCCAGGAAACACTCCTGAACTGAGACTTTCTCTCCAGGAAAAACTGCAACCAAGACAAAGTTTATTGGGTGATCTGAACTTTTTCTGCCGAAAACACAATGAAAAGAAAATAATCGATGCTTAAATTCTAGAAAGAGAAGACAGTCGAATTCTGCTCTCGGTTTTTGTTTCTTGCGCCACGCTTGGCGCTCAGGTAACCAGATGAGGCGCCAGCGAGAGAACCCAGTTCGGCTGCACACAAGGCAAGACCCCTCCCCGACGCACTATTGCTCTGGCACCCGGTGAGTTTTGATGTGAATCTCTCCTTTAAGAAAATTACTGAAGCACCTGGATAGACCAGACACCTTCTGCTATGACTGCAACTGTTTCATCCATAAAGATTATTATTAATCACTTGAAGTAATTATAACTGTACAGGAAAAAGTAAATTAAGTAGAAGCAATTTTAAACATTTATGTAATTTCCTATATTAGTAAAGCAAATTTTCTTGTACTTGTCATAATATTTGTTTTATTTGAAACAACTGTGATAGCAAAATTAAATACGCTACTGGAAATTTTAATCTCTAAGGGAAAATTTGTGCCTAATGCCTAAGATACCAGGACGGTTCTGCAGAGGGGCTGTTCTAGGATAATGAACACAATAATTGCCTGTATCATCTAAAACGCTACTAATGGCGACGATCACAAATCCATTTAGCTCCTCTTTAATTTATGTACCAAGTTTTAAAATAGCTAATGGTTCTCAGTAAAATAATGGTTTACACCAACAATCAGCGGTAAATACGGTAGTCTCCTGCTTCACCAGGAAAGCGGGCTTCAGGGAGCGCGTGCCGGGCTGACAGCCTCACGGCTGCCTGACCACCAGCACAGCATGGCTCCAGCCTACCCCACCCAGCACAGCACAGCTCCAGCCCTTCCCCAGCACAGCTCCTGCCCCCCTCCCCAGCACAGCACTGCCCTAGCCCACCCCCACAGCCCTCACTGGTCCAGCCCACCCCACAGCACCTCCCGAGAGCGAGTGCCTGCCTGGGTGGCCTCCAGGTTGCCATCAGGAAATCCGGGTCACACTGACGCTCAAGCGACAGGGATACTGTCCCGGGTCAGAACATTTCTGCAGTAACAGTGGGACCACCAAACCAGTGTCACCTTTCTTCAAAACTTGCTCTGAAGGATCTCTGCAAGGAATGCTGGAAGAGCAAAGACAGAAGCGGAATGTCTGAAAGCCACTCCCACTACAGACAACGGGACGTGGTTTCCCTGCGGCAGGCTCGGTGTGGGCAGCCCTGAGAGGCACTGCCCGGCAGCTGGGGTGAGGGCTGGGAGCACAGAACTGATGGGCG